ATATCATGTTCATCCGGCAAATATCAATAAATCTGATTTTAATCCTGGAAATGTTATATCTTATTATCTTACATGTCTATATTCTTTACAACAAACGGGTTACTTTCTCTATTAATAAGATAAATATTAGCAGTAATAGTACAATATTAATAAACATAAGAATTAGGCCTACTACATATTGCTAACATTATTTTTGAGATTATTGCAGAAGAAAACATTTAAAAAATAGAATTTACACTATATTTTAATCAATTTCATATCCAGAATTCTTTCAGGAAGCTTGATGAGTTACACGTACAATTTTTGGCTATCTACAAATAATTGGTAAGTTCTGTTGCCCTTTCACGATTGAGTCCGGACATTCTTTCCTGATAGTTGTGGCTTCTTTGTCTACATCACTGGAATAGAAAAATATTGAGGAAAGATTAGGAAACAGAGAAAGAATTGTAACGGAGTATCATCAAAACATAATATATAAATAAAAACAGAGGGACTTTGCCAGATGAAGGGTTCCCACCACCTCTACAAAATTATTATTATTATAAATGTTCACCAAATTTAAGGTAAGAAACGTTTCGATTATGGCACCTCTAGATGGCCAGAAATGGCACTCTAAAATTTTTAATTTGAATGTAATTTTCTTTTTTTCTCCAATTTTTTAGCATTTTAAAAGATTTAGGGTGGAGTGGGAGGTCGGCGGCCACCCAATCCCCAGGGGAGTACCCCAACTTTAACATTATCATTCAGTTATCGCAATGGACAATGCTGCTGATACAAAATAATAGTGCTTCACAATTCTCATCATATCAGCATTATCATAATTAAATATTAATTATCTATAGTATCATCATACCATGGAATGATGTAAGGATTACCGGTATTAAATACTGTACATGGCATTAAGGTAGGTCTGGTAGATCGCAAAGCGCAAACAAATTATGTTAGCATTCTGCTTGTGGGGTAAATAAAATTTATAAAAAGTGTACTAGTCGAACGAAATGAATATATAGAAAATAAACAATAAACATAATACTATATCTATAATCTTCATACAAACATTTTTCATGATATAATATTTTTTGATTAATTGATTGATTGATTGAATTTATTCGATGCTCAACATACAAAGCAAGACAACAAATGGATTGAGATCAAGAAAAGTAAAAATTACCGTAATGAGCATCAGGAACGTCCATTAGGTCGGATTCCAGCCCATTTCCAATGAGGTCCAATTTAAATACAGTAAACATTGTCTGTCTTGAGCTGAAAGATAAACAATTTAATTCCATAACTGAATAATTATATTTAAGTAAGTTACAAACTTACAATTAAATATATAAATGATAAAATTGTTTTCCTGTCAATTAACAGTGCTGTATTCTTAATTATACATAGACTCAATTAAATTGGCTGGTAGTGTCGATTTAAGAATTTTGTAGTAAATGTTCGTAAAATCAAGGAAAATGAGAAAAATCTGATCGGGGTCTAAAACAAGGGGATGCTTAGAGCCTTGTTCAGGGTCCCGGGATAAAATCCCTGAGGTGAGGTTCATGGAGAGAAAACTTACGGTACAGGATCGCCCATGTGATTTTTGACTGGATTGGCTATCAAAATATATTTGTTTTGATCGGCAAATTAATGTCGTGGAGCCGGACGAGGGAGTTGATGAACGTTAGTTTATAAGTTATGGTAACTCGGACTACATGAGCACGCCTAATTGCGTTTCAAGTTAAAAATAATATTTAGTTTACAGCAACATATGCTACTTGGGTCCACACCCGGGATTTACCAATCTCAGCGTAGCAAATGTTTTAAGTCAAAACGTTAAGATGTCCCTAAAGAAAATTCTTAGCAAAATCGTAGCTTAAAAATTGTCTTAGATGGCGCACGCGTACAGTGGACTTTTTAATTTTAAGCATGAGCTAAGCAATATTGGTAAATTTGACTTAAGCAAAAAAAAATGGACTTTTCAATTTTAAACTGATTTCTAGTTCGACAATCTGGCCCCAGCATACCGGTTATTTAATTCCCTTTGGGGGTCAGAAGAAATTTTAGCCATGTTGTACTTTTTGCTAAGTATCTCCTCTAATTGCCCTACAAGTGTGGCTTATCCCTTTTTTTTTTAAAATCCCATAGATCCCTCTATAATCAAGGACTGTTAGGACTACATTATTTTCGTTTTTCATTAAGGCAGCTAAATTGTAGAAAACTCTTTCTCTTAGCGCCATTTTCTGTTAAATGATCTGCTGCCTTATCTTTTACTGAAAACTGGGAGCCCTCTTGCTAACATTGTTTCGAATTTAGGCTTGTTTGTATTGTTTTTACTTTCATGTATGAACTACATATTATCATATGATCAGTGGACCACCTTTGGTGTTGGGCCTTGCACATGTCTTGCTCTAGGCACTCTCAAAGTAATTTCATATCCATTTCATATTATTCATCTATAGGCCTATGTCGAATTGGTAATGAATAAATAAATATCCGTGCACACATGTCCACATAGAGAGAGTGAGAAAGAGAGAGAGAGAGAGAGAGAGATGCTCAGCCATGTACGGCTCATGTCTGGTTTTTAAAATGTATCTTTATTTCAAATGTATTGAGAATGTAAATGTATTTCACATTTCGACTTTCTTTTGGAGGGATGCCATGAGCGTTTCCTCCATTTTGTAACTTTTCATTATTATTATTATCATTCTTATTATTATTATTATTATTATTATTATTATTAGGCCTATTATTATTATTATTATTATTAGGTCTATTATTATAATAGGCCTATTATTATTATTATTATTATTATTATTATTATTATTATTATTATTATTATTACAGTCCTATATAAAGTGCTAAACTGCTCTATATAATTTGAAAAGAGGAAGTGTGCAACCGGTCACCGCCTAAATTATTCAAAAATTAATTCGAAAATGGAGAAAAAAATGAAAATTGTATTCATACTTAAGTCGTTTCCGGCCATCTAGAGCATGGACCATTGAGGTGACATAATCATAAATCCATACGTGAGAGTCCCCCTAGATCCTCTCTATCCCGAATTTCTGGATTACAGTACTAGTACCTTTAATATCGACATCATGGAAGTACACATCTATGAAGATATTAATATCAATAAAATATACTGTCAATGAAAAAAAAAAACACGAATCTACAATGTAAACAACGAACGGAAGTTAACAAGCCTGGCAAGCTGTAATTACTGTAAATACATTTTTTTAGCCAGTTTCAGGTCTTTTGGTGGTTTTAGCGAGTCACTTGGAATGTATGTTGTTGAATAGAATGCAGCATGTCAGTGCATGCTTCTGTCGAGGAAATTGTCAATGCCTTCAATGCGGCTGCCTAACAAACGTAGTCAATATAACCACCATAGAATGACAGAATTACCATTTAACTAGTGAATCAACGATGCAAAATGTTTAATACTGTACTTACATTTGTTACCAATTGTAAAGTCTCCTTCGTAGTCCATTGAGTAATGTTTATATGTAAAACGCCACCTGGAGTGGTATAAAAAAAACAATTCATTATTCGATTTCCAATGCGCCATTCCTTATGACGATGAGGATAATGAGGGTGATGATGATGATGATAATAATAATAATAAATAATAATAATAACAACCTTGAGCTTCTTGGGTGTTTCCTTTTCATTCATTTCCAATTTACTATTTTATGTGAAGAATATGGTTTAAAACTTTTGCAATCAACACAGGAATGAATGATTTTTGCTACTCTTGGCCGATTACATATAATATTACTTCTTAACAAGGCATCACTGATCCACGTCAGCTGTGTTTATGGAGGTGGTTTGTTTGTAGGGGTATGTGTTCTTTTGGTCCGATTAGTTTCAAACGTGGCAGAATTCAAGACGTCAAAAACAGGACAGAGCTTATTAATTTATTATTTCTGTACTTGTGTGGTTTTACGCTAAACGTCATTTAATTAATAAAATATTATTAAAATAGTTACAGTACTCTTTTTATAAGAATCAGTAAAAAATTGCCCAGGAGGATCAGTGTTCTGTCTTTTTTATTGCCTATTTCAGGCTTTCATGTTCTTCTTTTACACACTTTTCAAAGATAGAACATTATTATTGTACAGCAATATCTGTACTGCATTATAGAGTCACATAGTCACTCCTACTAAATATGAGTAATTAATTATGATGTTGACATAACCTTTTTAAATATTAATATTTTACTGTATGTGACTACCTTGATTTAGTTTTCTGGGTTTTTCCTTTTTCAATAAAAACATTACCTCAGGCTCAATTTGTTATCATTTTGTACTTTTTTCAGCCTCGTTGTTTAATAAAATGTGTTCTTATAAAAAGTTTATAGGGTCAAGATAGAAGAGTCCATGTCGGGCCCAGGGTAAAGCTAATCCTATCACCACCATAATGGACACACCAAGAGGAATAATTACAAAATTGTTTTGCAAACGATACATGGATTTGCTAGCTTTCACTCTGCATTATCAGTTATAATATCGCCAAGAAAGCAAAATTCTTTATTAGAAATTGTGTGTCAACGTCACAATTCTACTTGAAAAAATTGTGGGCCAGCCATTATAGTACCTGAATGAATCCCGTTCTGACTGACCATCTGTCTGACAATCGGCAACTCTTTTCACTAATACATGAAAATTCATTTTGTCATATATTACAACCAAATTAGTTTCAAAATGTTTCTCTTTGTTGTTCTGGCTATAAAGCAATGATCTCGATCAGTTCACAGACAGAAGACACAAGCTCCTTATGGTACACATTGTACAACCCCCAAATACTATACACCAATTCAAGCATAGAAAACAAGACAGTACAAACATATTCTGGTATTTGATCTTAAAAAAATGTTTTATTATTTATTTACAATAGCAAATGATCAGTATTCACGTTTTATCCGAATATCAGATTCATAATATTTATAATCTATTATTCAATTAACCATGTTTATTAGAAACAGCTAAGCCATAGTATATCTTTAATATTCTTTTGTGAAAAGTATGAAGTTTGTGACAATATGCATCTTGTAAGTCCATCATTATCATAATCAAAATCAGCACCTGAAAATCTCCCACCAGCATAAGCATCAACTGACACCTGGTCACTCTACACCTGTCTTAGCATCATCTGACATCAGCACCTGGAAATCTCCCACCCTCATAAGCATTATCTGATATCTTGTCACGCACCTACTGTATCTTAGGCTACGTTCAGACTTGGAGATAAGCCAGGCTTGAGTTAAGCCCGGCTCAACGTTAAGCCCGGCTTAACTTTGCCGGGCGTTCCGACTAGCAGATTTAGCCAGACGAGAATTTGCATAATAATGAACCGTAATCTGGAAACGTGTTTCAGAACATTGCTCGCGAAACGTACGTACGTTCGCTCCCAGCGTACGTAATTGAATGCTGATTGGTCATTTCGTCACCCGAATGCAAGACCCCCCCGCAACGATTAAAGCCCGGCTTAGAAAAGTTAAACACGGTGGTACACCAGGCCTTTTTACTATAGGAACACAGCCTGGCTTGAGATAAGCCACCTAGTTCAGACTGGCAGGTGGATAAACCCGGTGAGTTGAGCCGGGTTTATCCACCTAGTCTGAACTAGGCCTAAGCATCATCTGACATCAATACCTGGAAATCTCCCACCTGCATAAGCATCATCTGACATCAACACATGGAGATCTCCCAACATCTGGCCATTCTGCATTTATATAAACATCATTTTTTAATAAACATTATTATAATCAATCTGATCATCATCCCCCTACATAAGCATCATCATCATCATCTGACAGCTGGTAACTATGCACCAGTATAAGCATCATCTTATCAACACCAGATTACTCTGCACGTGCAAAGCACCATCTTATATCTGTTCACTATGCACCATCATTTTAATTGACACCTGGTCACTGAGCTTCTGCCTAAGCATCATTGGACATCTGGTCACTTTGCACCTTTTTAAATGAACATCTGGTCACCGTGCACCTGGTTGGAGAATCTGCATAATTAACATGATTGTGGAAATGGACAACTTGAGATCCTTTAAAGCCATATACATCTTGGGCAACATGAAGTTGGTTCCTAAAAATGAAATTAAAAAATCACATTTTTAATATTGTTCTATAAATTTTGCATAATCATTAATAACAAAATATGATTGGTTAAAACAAGATTGTTTAGTTGAATGAATCATTAAGGGGTCATATGACTGGCTGAACTCTGCCCTTATTGCTCTTCAGTTTCTTTGGATTCACAGAGACATGCGAGAAACACTAAGGCCAGTGTTACCACACTGAACACATCCTCAGTTTCCTGGGGAGAGGCAACTGTAGGTAAATTATGCCTCCCTACAAGGATACAAATAGAATGCAGTTAGAGATGCAAACCCCGGCCTAAAGGATGAGAGCCAGCACCTGAACAGCTGTGACACTCACTCCAACGTTGGTGCACATACAGTTATTGTATTATTATTATTATTGCTTAATGTGCATGCTAATGTATTTTGATCGGATCAATGTTTTCAGAATATATTTCTAAATGTACCTTCTAAAACTTCTTTTGGAAAGTTCTTGTTTTGTGGTAGTCCATGATACACTAAGAAATGTGATAAGTAAAGAGGAGTAGAGGGCCACAGTCCTTGCAACAGGTATTGCACTAAAACTCCAGGATTATCTGTGTATAGGAGAGAAAAGATAATCAGATTCTGAAATATATGTTACAAAATATTTTTTTAATCATTATGTCATATCCAGGGGTTCCCAACTATATTATTACAGGGTCCAAGCTTGTAGATTATAATAATAATAATTGACGATTTACAAAGCGCATATTGTAGAGATGTCTGCGGTTTACATTATAACCCTCGGTCACTGGATCAAGCACATATAGAACACAATCTCAGTCCCCATGGGGGAATTCCATAATGTTGCAGCTGTAATCAGCGCATGGTTGTGCACTGAAACTACCAGGTACCCACTTGTACTCCTGGGTGGAGAGAGACAAAACCGTAGATAAAGTTCCTTGCCCAAGGACACAAGCGACTTGCACAGCGAGAGATTTGAACCCCCAACCTCAAGGCTGGGAGTCCAAGCCAACAACCGAAGTGCCAACCACTTCTATTAAATTTAATCAATTTGAAGGTTTAATGACCATGATAAGATAGTAACCTAGGGTCTAAGGAGGGGGAGGGGAAGGGCACTTAAGCATGAAAAATAAATTGTAAAATGATGCAATAATACTGGCTTTAACAATAATTATATCAGTTTAGGTATTTCTGAGCTATGTATTCCAACATATTACCAATAATTTTTTATTATCTTGCTTTGATACTAATGGCTCAAAATAATCAGCCTTGACTGGGTGAATGACCCTCGCAAAACATTAATCAAATAAATATATAAAAAATACCTTTAAGCCAAGTATTGAGCACTAAGTTCACTTTATTCTCCACCATGTTGCAGAACTGTGGATCTAGGAGCGGAGTAGGCTTCTCCTTAGAATGGCCTGACAGTAAGCAGGTGTAGGCATGCTGGTAGAATGCCAACACTAAGCGTAGTTGCGAGAGGGCGTAGGTCCCATTCGCAAGGGACAACGGCTGGTTCACTACCTGATATAACAAAAGAAGTATTAATATAGGATTGATATTAATATTCATTGTTGGCAATATTCTTAAAGCTATCATTCTCACCATTGATTGGGGATATTATGATAAAGTACTGTATGACTATGATGAAAATGAAAATGATGAAAGTGGAAGTGGATTATAATGCTGATTATGGCAGCTGCAATGATGATAGTAGTGATAACATTGATTATAATGATAGTGAAGATGATAGATGATCATGAATATGATACCAATGATGACTGATTTAAAATTAACAAAGAAAATCTGGTGAAGTTGCCCATACCTCAAATATGTCAAGAAAAGAATGAAGAATATCTGGTTTTTCCCTTGTTACACAATCATAGAGAAGTGTTGAAAACACGGCTACTACTTCTGAATCCTAAAGAGAAATTAAACAAATCAGCAGTGATGTTGTTAATCTTTGAGTGCGATACCTGGATAAACATCCTCCTACCTCTCTTGCCAAGATCTGTTATGGACTTAAGGAAGCTGCTCATTCATGCAGGGCATTTATCGTCTTATTTACGAAATAGACTTTTAAATATACAGTAAACAAAACCCTTGAAAGACTATGACTTAAAAAAAATTACATAAGAGAATAAAATAAATATTAGTATGAAAATAAAATTATAAATAAGCGCAAGTTAATCTAACCTCCTCATTCTTTCCAGTATGCTTGCAAAATTGAGAAACAAATTCCAACACTCTGGGGTCAGAGGTGAAAGATTTAATGACCTCCACATCAATGCTATGGTAACTGCTGCAGTCTTCTGTCATTGTCCTTGCTAATAAGCTCAAGTAACCCTAAAATAGATGGATGTATCACAATGAATAATGCATAATTTGTTTTTTCTTTCTTTTTTTATAGAACCATAATTCATATAGCGCCTTTCACAATCCGCAGATTTTCACAAGAGATTATACAAGGCGCTAGCATCATTATTTCCCTGGTCACTGGATACTAAATTGGCTGACCCGCACATTGTGCAACTTTCCCTGCTCCCTGGGGAGTATCCCTGGTCATTGCTGCTTGAATGCGCACAACCCATACATTCAATGCCAAATGAATATTTATAAAACTCATTGAATATTCATGCATAATGTTTACATTTTCAAGAGGCATTGAAGGATGAAATAAGATTGTTACCTTTGGATCTTGCTCATAGGACAGATGCCCTGCTCGCTGCTTTACATACAAACAGCCGTTGCACGACAACATTGATTTCAAAATCATCTTATTCTTCTCAACGTGTAAAGTGACTGGCCAATAGCGGGGTCCGAGGACATTGATCTGGGGGAAGGTAGGGATTTGTTAAATTAAATTTAAATTCATCCTTCACTAACCTTTGGTAGGGTTAAACCAGTAGCATATTTTCTTTTGTGACGCTATAACAAGGTGCTTGCCTTTCAATCCCAAACTCCTAGGTTCAAATCACGTGAAATATCAGGATACTGCACATTCATAACATTTACTGCATAATGGGATATATGGAGCTCAAAATAAATTGTAAGATCAGCTGGGGAAATACTACCAAATTAAATAGGTCGAATTATTATTATCTAACTTTAAATAGTCTCACTTGTTGATCTTACCTGCTCTAGGTACTTTAGTTCTGGTATCAGGCATGGTGCCATCATCTTCAATGATTTACCTTTATACCAATCAGTATCCTACGAAAATAATGGTATGAACATGAAATTCTTTTATAGCATACCATGTCAAAAAAGGCACTATACACTTCACAAGAGATAAATTGATAGTATAAAAATAAAAACCAATTATAAAAAGTACAGTGCATTGTCATTAAATATGAACATTAGAAAAATATATAAAAATATATAAATACAAAGATGAATTAATTATAGTGAAATCCACGGGATAAGCCTGGCAAAGCACACCCAACGCCATGGGTCCCAATAATAAAATGCATAAAAGCCACTGTACAAGCCTGGTAAAGTATAGCCAAGGGTAAGATGGAAAGGAACAAGAAGCCAGGATTATATTACGCTTGTCATCCTAAAGCCAGCATCACTGTTTCTAAATGTTAAACTGAGTAATTAGCATAAAAAAGTGACAGTATTGTATACTTTAGTACAGAGAAGCTGTAATACTTTTACTCAGAACTTTGGCAATAGAAAGTCGATTCCATTAAATCACTTGAAAGCTTATAATGTGGAGAATATGAATATATTAAAAGGTCAAAACAAGAAAATTAACCTTTTAATATGAATATATAAAAAGGTCAATTTTCTTGTTTTGGTCACTGATGCTTGTTTTGGTATGGCCAGCCCAATATCTGTTTGAGAGACGTATCCCCACAAGTAAATAACTGACGAGGGATGAACGATAATCTATCAGCCACAATACCTTGTAAACTAGCTCTAGGGGTACATATGCGACCTTATTGCTGTCAACATCTCTAGGAAGAATGAGCCTTGGTTCTGCTGCCAGCACATACAGGTGACGTAATGCTTGTAAATGGTATCTGAAATTTACATAAATAGTTAGCATATCATGAATATTTAGCTAATGTAAATCACTATAGAACCAGGCTTCCTGTGTAATGTTATAACAACTATAAATGTAAGTTGTATGATAGATTGTGCTTGACCTTTGACATAGTCCTGCATACTTTAAATTACAAGGTGGCATCATTGTATCTGAAAAAACACTTAGAAATTTATATAATATACTTTTTGTAAACTGTCAAAACCGAAGTTTACCGATTATCATTACTGTGAACTGGAAATCTTGGAAAAATACTGCATAAAAGGGCACCAATTGCTGGTCCCGAAGACTGAAGTGTATACCGCCCTCCTCCTAAAAACAGGAATCCAATTGCCATGTGTGTGGCCATGTGGTTCCCGTAGGTGATGTCCAGGAAGCGACCATGTAGTTGGCGGGCAAACCGAAGGACGTTTAAATCGCCCGTACCAGCCATCACCTGAAATCACAATAACAACAAGTTTTTTTATTGTCTAAAATTTTTCAAATATATCGAATCGTTAAACTATACACTGAGTAATAGTTTATCTTACCATAGACCATGCTAATAGCACAACATTCAAACAATTTTCAATAGTCGATTTTCCAGCCTGAAAGAACAAGTTCATACAAATGAATAACATTTAAAACAAGGACAAAAATATAATAATGAATTTGTTTTAAAAGAGTCTCACTTTTTCTTATGTGAAAGAAATACAAGAAATAATCATACTTACCATCTCAATTTCATCTGCACTTGTTTTTGAATGAAACACTTTGACAAAATGTTGCTGAAAAATAATTTAAATTAATGAATATATGTTGCAGAATAAATACACCAACAACATATAAAAATAATTACTGATGATTATTATCAAATTATAACAATTATTAACTTGCCACAAGAGCAAAGATAGAACTACGCTGGAAACAATCATTGACAACTAGGTCAGTTGGCAGAGTGCCGTGATTGAACTCTGAAGGTAGCTGGTTCAATTCCCACAGCAGTCCATTTTCTTTTTGTACATTTTTTAGTGAAATCATACGCCCATATATGTAAGTCATGTGACATCATCAGGCCCATTTATGGGCAAATAAGAGAAAGTGTTAAGAGAGTTTTTATTCTCAATCTCACCAGTGTATTAAATGCTTCCTGATTAGCTGACCCAGCAAAGCGAAGGCCGAGAACAAGACATGCCCCAGCTAGAATATTGCACTCTGCTTGGCTAATAGAATGATAGGCAAAAATTGTTTTTTTATTGAATTGTATTAGTCATGAATGAACTTTTAAAAACTTAGCGACGACAATACCATTAAATATCAATACGACTATCTAATACCATTAAATATCAATACGACTATCTAATTTTTTTTTATTGAATTGTATTAGTCATGAATGAACTTTTAAAAACTTAGCGACGACAATACCATTAAATATCAAGACGACTATTTAATACCATTAAATATCTATACGACTATCTAATTTTTCTTTTTTATCTTTACTCTCCAAATTTCAAGAATTTGTTTACTTACAGTGTTAAATTAACTAAATTCCCCCTCTCCAATTTATTCCCATCTTATTCCTGCCATATGACCTACCTCATGGTTTGTATGTCAACATCTTCATCCAGACAATTCAGGATGCTTCTGTTAAAAGCATACTTTTTTACAATCTGTAACAAAAAAAAAATCATTTCAAAAACCTATTCAGGAAGGGGAAGGGGGGGGGGTTTGGAAAGCAATAAAAAGAAATAATTGATCTGCTAAAATGCCTCGGGTGTTTAGAAAACAAAAAATGTGCAGGCCCCCTAGGGTAGTGTTGTCCCGATCGGCCCCACTTTCGACCCTTCCTGGATCTGCCCCTGTACTAAGACATTAGTACACAAAACAAAAAAATAACTCTAAAGGAATGATGGTAATTCAGTTATTTTTTTATTAAAATGAGCCAACATTTTCAGCTTAAAACCATGCTCACACTAAAATTGATAGCATATTGCATGCTAACATGTATGAGAACAGCTAAAAATGGCCCAAAATTGCTCATTGTTGCCATCGGAATTAGTCCTGGCATCTCCACGGTAAATATTTTATAATGATGTCTATACCAACCTTTGGTAAGTTGCTTTCCACCCATTCAATGGATGGATGAATGTTACTCCACATCACAAGGCCATGACTAACAATCTAGAATTTGAAAGAAAAAACCTATATAACATCATGGAATATTAACATATACTAAAAATTAATAAATAAAGTTAAAGTTATGATGTTTCCTTAAAACGTAATGTCTTAATATTAAATATAGTGAATTATCAGATTATAAACTGAATTACAATAAATGAAAACTTACTCTGATTAGTAGAAAATCTGGACGAACAAAATCTAGAAGAAACTGTGTTTCGGGAGCAGCTAACCACTGGGCTACAGCACTAGAATCAAGAAGATTATAAATCATGTGTTACGATTCTCAATAGATTAGGACTGTAACATTATATTATAGTTTAATTTACTATTATAATTGTAGTCTCGGGATTAAACATTTGGAACACATAATTAGTTTCCTGGGTGGGAATTCCTTTATGGAAGTACTGCATTAACAAACCTACTGGTACGCACCACTCCTGGGTGAAGAGAGACAACAGAGATAACATGTCTTAGTTGCCCAAGAAACAAATGGTCTAACAGAAGCTTGAACCCAGGCTCTTTCAATTAGAAACCAACTGCTTTACCACTGTGCTACTTGCTTCTGATTTAATATAAACTTTTTTTTATATGAACATTCATGTTGAAAATGCATAAAATTTTGAATTTAATGTCATAATCACCTTTTGTTTGTATTGAAGAACATCATACCCAGAGCTAGCGTAGCACCAGGTGAGGTAACACTGACGTTCACCTGGTCCCCTTCTTTTATTTGATAGCTGGGTGACTTGTACTTCTCCTTATTCAGACCCGTCTACAAGAGCAAATTTGAGCAAGTGTTGATAAAAAAAAGTGTTAACTTTGGGTATAAATAAACATGGTTATATATTTTTATTTATTTATATTATATTGAAAATGACAATTTTATTAGTCAACTTTAGGCCAAAACAATTGTGTTGTTCAACAGGACACTTGGAAATAAGGGTCAGTTGGTGGTCATTAATGGTGGTTTTTTTTTTACTATAGGCCAAGGCCTCACTTTAGGGTTTAATCCTTCTGTCCATGCATTTGGTGGATAACGTGATAGCCACAGGGCTTAAATTAATGTTAAGGTACCAAATCTATTATCTAAATATTTGCCTTTAAAACATGTTTGTGCTCCTTTGTAAAAAAATAGATTTCTACAAAAAAATGTGGTTAACATGCATGGGATTTGAGCCCATTGACTTACTAGAGGTCTCTTGAATCCACCGACCATGTAGTGGTAGAGTTGATCAGTCATGTTGAGGTCCAATAATGATACATCATCACTCCCATGCTGAATGCAAACAAAAACAAAATGTCAAAATAATTACAACACAAGTTGAAAAAATTCTTTGAATGATCATCACTGGTCAAATTCCAACGTCTTTTAGTTCACTGTCAAAATCATAGTTAAATTAACAAATGGCATGTCCAATGGAATAGGTGGGTGGCACAGTGGTTGCTGGTCAGGTTGTCAAAATCATGGTTGTGAACCTCATGCAGTCCATTTCTGGCCAGGATTAGTTAGATCATCAACTTGAATTGTTGATTGGTTGTAAAAAAGGTTCATGTTTCAGTGTTAAAGGCAAGACAACTACAGCTCCTAGCTTTGTTTCACACATTTGTCTAAACAAATCAGTAATGATGTTGTTAGTCTACGAGTGAGATATTTACCTGAATAAACCGATAAATGCCTATGTTTTCTTTGGAACTTTCCTCTCGAGCATAAAAGAAAAATAATGGACTCGCCCTAGCTCACCTATATACACCCTGCATGAATGAACAATATCCTCATTTCCTTCTCGCTCTTGTCTATTGTTACCAGAAGATTTCGTTAAATCTATTGTTAATATAACAGACAGATTAAGTTTCCTGTAGCCATGTTTGTGCAGGAGCCAACTTGTTCTTTGTGTGGTGGGCCTAGGCCTTATGGTCAGGGTGCGCCGTGTGATATTTGCAAGGTCTGGACTCTTGTAAGGTTCCAGACTGTGTTTCTGGGCCTTCTTCAAGCATGTCCCAGGAGCAGGTCTAAACCCTCATTTAGTCAAATTGATCTCTGATCAGGTTTCGTGCATTACGAAGGAAGCGTTGTCTGTTGCATCAGCAGCACCATGTCGCTGCTGCGCCTGTTGTTCCTCCTCAGAGTCAGTCAGAGGTCAAGGTTCTTAGGGAGTTTTTCTCCTGGTACTGTTGCCATGAATTGTTCTGATGGCGATACATCGTCTGAGCCTGGTATGGCTGGTGGGGGTCTGCAGCCTATGGTTTGCAGGGTCATGCCAGCCGTCCTTGACCATTTGTAGTGGATTACATGGTCACCACTTCCCCTTCAGGGAAATGGGCTTCAGTGTGGGCACCTGTTGCCAATTTTGTGCGTCTTCCACAACGCCTGTGGTCCCCTTCCATGCGGACCTTATTGCCCGTTTGGATGCCCGGGCCCAAGATAGTTCAGCCCGTTAGGCTGCTCCATGCTGTCTTTGCCTGTCCTCCAGAGCTGAAGATTCAGATAAGTATTCACAAAATAGACCTTTGAATAAAAACCAAAATATTTACCCCCAGCATGATGAGGCCTAAAGCAAGTCCAGCTGCTAATGAGTAGGATTCACGGTCAGTACTATTCTCCATTTCCGGGCCTGGTGGTCGGCCTAGAAGGAAAATCACAAATATTACGCAAATCAGCATACAGTCAGTGAGTGAGATACCTGGATGAACAAATATATATCAGTTTTCTTATTAGAACTTACCTAAAACACAAGGGACTCACCTGACCAAAGCAGAATAACAGTGGTAATTGTCCTCCATTTTTTTTTTTCAAAATGCAATAATGAAAATGGAATATATCAGTTCACCCAGGTAAAATTGGACATTTTTTTCTCATTTTTATATATAGTTCTAAGAGATTTTTTTTTAATTTCTTAGCGCTGGATGTGAATACATTTATTTAAATAAATATAAAATATTTTTACCAATTTCATCAAGCAGAACTTCAGCAAACCGTCTATGAGCAGTTCCTTGATAAACCAAGCCAATACCGACAACAGCGCTAACTTGAACGACATGCGGCACATCTAATTCAGTTGACGTTGGTGGAAGCAATGCGGGAATATGAATACTCAACATCTTCGTCACGCTAACATCCATTGTTCCAGCCCTGAGCAAATGATAACAACAAAAAACATAGAAATGCTTCATCACTATTTATAAACACTTTGGTAATAAGTAAATATATTAAAAAATTAATTTATTAATTTATAATCTGTGATTTTGCCAACAACCAAGTGAGTGGGTGAAAATCACCCAAAAAAATTTTTTATATTTACCGTGCCGCTGCCAATCCTAGAAGAATACCCACGCTCGTCATCTCATGTCCCTGAAATCAAACATTTATGTTTAAATAACGTCACAAACGGTATGATTAATCTCTCTCCTCTAAGGAGTATAAGTTGGTACTTACTAGCTATTTTAGTCTTTTTTTTTTTTTTGGTGTAAGCAGAAGGGCAAGTATTGCCAAGCAATGAACTCTGTCACCGTTCAAAGTGGCATACCCCTTCACAAAATATAAACACAAAATGCTCTACATAAACTCAAATCTCATTATGAGGCTAAAGACTGGTTTCCATAAAAATCACTACTATCGCCACCTCCTTTAGCACAGACCCACTCAGCTGCAATGTAATAGTGTGATCCAATAATAAAAGTAATAGTGTAAAGCACATAGAATCCTATATCCATGAATCAGTTAAAAGTGTTGGGAACTAGATTTGAGATGCAGCATCAGTGATGTGATAAAAAAAAAAATGTGAATCTTGAGAGGGTCCTGTCAAGGACTTACCTTGATTAGATAGTCATGGACCTTGAGCGTCGCCAGGTTCGGTAGGTGTCCATTTAGACCAAGCCCCATCAGGAAACCAGCATGTTCATTACTTCTGCCATTCTCAGATGGTTTATTATAAGCTATCCAAGTAGAATCAACCTTAACACAAGAAACATATGCAATGTGAATGATGACTGTATCTTTGTTCATTTTGCTGTCTGGCTGATTTGTGGCTGTAATAATGTTGTCTTTATATGTCTATTTATCAGTCCACCACCCATGCATCCCCTTATCTTATTAACTGAAATTGATTTGACTTCCTCCAACTCATTACTTTCTATCAGTATCTCCATCTATCCAACCAATCTATCCACCCATTAAGTATTCATTTTTGCACCCATTTCTACCCAGTGAGTACTGATACAAAACTCTGCATTTGTGGCAAAAACAAGCCAATCCAGTCACTCGTTGCAAATCCTGTTTTGTAGATAGTGGAATGCTGGATTGTCAAAAATTTGGGAATCTATTTTATTGCACTAAACTAACCTTTATATATCTATACATAATGCTATGCTGTTATTTTCCTCATTTTCAATGTTAAAACAACAATGTTTAACGATCTGGTGATGGTTTCTACCTAAGCAATGCCTGAAATCATAAACTTTGAAGGCTGATTTTTCAAATCTTGTTCTTTAAACAGCTGTATGTTGAAACTCCTTTAAATGTCGAATTTAAATGATTCTTTTTACCATTTTAACCCTGTATTATTAACTAAAAATCAATTTTTGCGATGAGTGACTGGTTTGGCTTGTCTTTGCCACATTTCCAGAATAATGAATTGAATGCAGTGGATTCAGCGCTCTAGACTCTTATAATTTAACTCTATGGTCTATCCACAAACCAACCCACTCACTCACCAACCACCCTATTTATGATGTCGTACCTGTGAAGCCCCAGGGGCTATCTTCAGTCCTGCTGCCACTCCATTGTGAAAACTTGGCCACGCCTCCATGTTGGTTGGTACATCAATATGCGAGAAGTTTATCGTATTATTCCTAGGTGGCGCCTTCCCAGTCAAGTTGAGCTTTGGAATTGGTAATGTTTCAGTGACGACTGGTCTCGCAAGATGCAAAGAAAACATTCCTCTACAAGACATAAAATACAATTGTATTGCATTATATTGTTATGTCTGTATACAACCATTTTTCTTTCAAGTAATTGAAAAATGTACAATGTTTATATGGCAACCAACAGAAGCACAAAAAATGTAGAAAACTGATGATATAAAGATGAGATGATGACGATGATGATGATGATGGTGGTAGTGCTGGTGGTGAGGATTACACTGATGATGACATGGATGGTGAGTATGTTGATAATGATGATTATTGTTGAGGATGATGATAATAATGATGTAGATGCTGCTGATGATGTTGATAATAATGATGACAATGATTAGTGAGCAATAACCTTACCTTCCAACAGGTAGTGCCATGGTTCGCTGACTAATACTTAGTAGTTTAAACTCTTGTTCTTCTTGAAATTCATGGTCACTAAGTAAACAAAGACAAAAAAAAAGTTATTATATTATTATCATTATATGCAGTAGCTTGCTTATGCAGTGTTTATGCTAGTAACATATAAAGTTCACTCCTCACTTACGTGACCTCTGGTTTCTGAGTTAATACAATGTGTACAGGTTTAGTACTCTGCAGAAGACGACGGACTTCATACACACGCAAATCATCAGGGAATCGTAACCGCAGCATTTCCTCATCCAATTGCTCCATTCCATCAAAATCGTCTTTGCTTGAGGCTGTCCCACCTTGTGGTTTTCTCCCCTTCTAAATCAGTAACGTTGAAAGAATATCATTTAAAAATAAAGCAATAATACAAATTAATGGAGGGTAGGTTATCATAGAGCAGTGAGACCTATTCAAACTTGAACAGAAACCATTGATCTTTGTATGTGTGACTTTCTCAAGATAGCACTGAAGTCCTAAAATAACAATATTTAAACTTGTTTAAGATACCATAAATTTCAACAACTATAAGTGGTAACACCATACAAAAAACATTAAAAAATCCATGTTGTTGATATACCTTGACATTTGACATACCTTGACATTTGACATACCTATGCACACTTTAAAACTACAAGATTGCTTACTGTATACATTATATATAACTACAATACCTTTCTATAATCAATTTCTTTTTCCATCTTAGCCTGCTTTGAGAGGTCCTGCCTACCAATCAGCACGTAGGCCGCCTCTGACCAATCACTCGGTGGACTCTTCTTACACTCACTAATTGCCTCCTGGAGTGGCAAGGCTACACCAAATGGCAAGCTCTGAAGATCCTGTAGAGTGAAATTCATCTGGCTCATGTAAACGATAACCCGTTCTGATGGCGAAAGGCTGGCATGACTTTCACAGAACTTCTCGTAATCAAGAGTGATTGAACGTAACTGATGCCCTATGAATAAACATTTTTTAATATGAATATATATATCAATAACTGTCGTGTGCAATGAGTGCCCAGTTTTATACTGCAGAAGGCACTTGCATTTCAATACCACAATCCTGGGTCCAAATCTTGTTTCATGACAGGTTATTTTTTTATTAAGTAAAAACTACTCCAATCTCTAAGCCTCAAACCGGGACATGCTTATAGAGCATCCCATCCATTCTTAAGTGACATATCACTTGTTATTGGATGACAATAATTTTAAAAAAATAAAATTAACATACCAGTGGCTGATAACCTTCGAACCAGGTTTGCTCTTGTGTTTCCCTGTCTACCATGCTCATACATAAACACCAGATAGACCTACAAACATTTTTTAAAAGGAAATAATACTTACTGATATTACATGAATAAATTTGATGAAATAATCTGATTGTGGCTGTCATTATCCTAGCCACTCTACATTTATTTATTGTTTAAAAAAATCAGATATTAAAAAGGTAGCTCAAGCCATGATCACGTTGGATTTAATTGAACCAACATGAGGGGGAACTTTACCTGGACTGGGCTAAATAATACTATGGTTTGCACTTGGATATAAATATGCAGTCAGTTTGCCAAGACTGGGACTAAATTCTATCCGCCATCCTAGCACTCATCAGAATGTTGACAAGTCTAAATTCTAATTTTAAGTGTACAAACTACATGTTGTTAATCAAGCCTAATACAGTTGAATTTGCCTAAGTCAAATCCAAAATACCATTGAAATATTGTTCGACTTAAATAAAATTTGACTTACGAATTGTATATTAATGGAAAACACAACAATTTGGCATGTGAAATAAGATCGACTTAGAAATTATTCGACTTAGGCACAGTCAACTTAAGGCATGTTTAACTGTGCATGCACTCAGCTTTTCTGTTTGGGAAACAAACCAGTCTAGGCATAACTCATTCAGTTCAAATTACTGCGTGCCTTGCAAAATATAACTAAGGAGAAGGTTACACAGGGTGTTCGCACTTAAGTTTGAGTCAAACTAAATGGGTACATGCTTAGTTGACCACACAGTGTCCGTATTAGTGCTAAGTGTTCTTACATGTGTGCTAACAAGACAGTTGACTTACTGATATAATTTTTTGAAGCTTTTTTCCAATGCCATTGATGAGTGCATAGGGATCCACTGGATTACCATGGAAGCATTCCACAAGCCATTCCACCAGGCTTGGCGGTTCCGTTGTGATGTAGCTAGGCCACTGCATCAGCTTCAGATGATCTAAATCAACGACACAAATCCATTAGGTTAGTATAAAAACTGTAAAGTATATGAAATAAGCTAATTTCATCAAAAGTTTCAGTCTCTGACAACAACTAAGATAACACTTTTAGCAGCATGACATCAGTTTAAGCTACTGTAACCAAAAATGTAACTTTGGTTAACCAAAAATGTAACTTTGGTTACATTAGCTTACACGGACGTCATGCTGCTAAAAGGGTAAAATCGTAATGGCCTATAACTTCATAAAGTTGATTCTATTAGTAATGATATCAAAAATCCCCTCTAGAAAAAATGGGACATGATACCTACCTGGATGCACCTGTCTCTTGTCCTTTTCCAGGTGTAATAAATTTGGACAATCTCTCTTGTAGTAGTCTATGTAATCATCCCACTGCAAATCACTGTAATACAAACATACCATATTTTCAGTAAGATGTCCTTTAACAAAATCTACAAATAAGGCTGATTAGGTGATAGTATGACAGATTACACAAATCAATCATGATGTTGGTAGTCTATGAGTGAGATACTTACCTGGATGAACCAACATTAGTCGGTTTATCCAGGTAAGTATTCACGAAATAGACTAACTCAACTCATCATGCAAAAAATTTTAAAAACTCATATTAGTACGCATCCACAAAATATAGTGATGTTTAATGCTTTGGAAAAAGTTCAATTCAATAACTTCATTACTGCAAATTCCATTGAAAGTGCAAATATTAAATTTTCATTTTATGAAATGTATAACAAACATGCTGAACCTACGATGCTAGGTGGAAAAGTAAGGTTGCTAAGCAACTCAGCTTTTCAGATTGAAGTCGCTCCAACTTCAACTCCTGCAAAAAAATAAAAGCACAATTAATGATGGCTGAAGGAGAAAGATCAATCAATTTATAAAAATTAATATGTACAGTATCTTGAATATGACTGTTTTGTTATATTATATATAAATATATATAATTGTCAGGCAAAGCACCATTAGCATTGTTCAGCTAAATATATCTTATTTACTATTCATTTATTGCAGTATATTCCACATGCACAAGATTTATACAATGCACAAAAATTTATATTCAAGATTTATACATGCACAAAATTTATACAATAGCAACAAACCTCATAAACAGAATGGAAAGCAAAAGCTATGGCTGGGATATACATAAAGAGTGGTGCAGACGTATCTATGCTTGGCTGGTCACCAGTGATGTTTGAGGGTGTGCTTCCTTCTACCGTTGTCACACCGCAGAAGCAGGAATTCTGGGAAATCATCAGCTTATGGTAGTCTGAATTGATTAAGTACTCCCAATCCTGAAACAATTGTTATTTAAATTAATTACATAAATTAGAATAATTTATATTTGTATTTAAAGATGTGAATACAACTTTTATGATCTTTAATTAAAATAAGTCAATTAAATGGATGACAAATTTCTTCAAAAATATACAGACCAGTACTAAAGAGGTCTCAGTTGAATAACTACAAAAATCTGGGCAGTGTCACTGGGAATCCATAGCAGCCACAGTGCAGCGCCACCTATGGCGGAAAATTAGGCAGCTTGCAAGAGCTTTAACCTCTCTTCCTAGGACAATAACATGTTTTCATATTTTCAGCTTAGAGAAATAGAACTAGAGACGCAAATATTTCTATGGTTTAGCGCACACTCAGTGGTTATTACCAGATTTTAAGCTGACCTCAAAATATACTAACATGAAGCTACAAATATGTCAATCAAGTACTCACATCATTTTCTGTAGAAACCTTATGCTTCTTAGTTGTCATAACTGGTGACAAAGTCCCATCTAAATCCGACTAGAAAAAGACAGATGAAAGTAGTGATTTTGATGTTTTTAATTATTCATATGAAACCCTTAAGAAAAGAAGATTTCACAACCATTAGGAAGAATTCTGGTATATAAATGGAAGACGTTGAAACGTTTACCCACCTGCTGTGAAATAGTCAACTGGGTAATATTGTATCCCATCATGCTCAACAAACAGCGCATGAAGAGTTTCCATTCAGAGGCTTTGAGAGCGCTGCTTGGAGCGTTATTCGTAGAGTACCAGTTGACTAGGGCTTGAAGTGATACATCTTTTGGCAATATCTGTTTCAGAGCCTCCAAGCAACTCATAACTAGAGTATAAGAAAAAAGGTAAATATAGACAATATTATTATTATTTTAATTATTATATTATTATTCTTGATATTTCTTAACACTATCAAATGTAAACAAATGAGAAGATAGGTTGGTGTATGTACACTGGATGGATGATACTATTATCTTAAAGGTGTGTACACTGTAGACACATTAGCAATTAGAGAAAATTGGGCCCTTACTAAGCAAATAATACTTTCATTTCAATCTCACCTAGAGGGGATGAATACATCAATGGAAGTGATGTCCTCTTTAGACCTCCACCAGCCATTTCCTAAAAGATAAATATTGAATGAATGCAAGTTTAAGTTAAAGAGAATGAGGCAGGGTGCTCTTATACAGCCAGTAATGATGGATGATTCCATTATTTTTTAGGTAAGTTACACAAATTAGAGAATATATCAAACTCAGCATGACTAGTAAGCTACCCAATTTGCACAATTCAAAAACTATGATATAATGCATAATAAACAATTAGTATTATAGTTGCATATCACACACTAATGGAAATTATTATTAAGTTACATTAATGCATGAACAAATTCCCGAGGGCCTACCAGGCCTAAAAGAATTTTCTGAATCCATTATTCTAGCCTAAATATAATCATTTATACCCATTATAGGTCACTCGCTAATTGTGTCTTTTGGGCATGGAAAAAACAAATCGTGCCTTCAACCACATAAAGTTTTTCAAGTACCAAACATTATCTCTACCCCATATAGCCGACACGTACCAATGAAAACCTATTGTCGTTCGCATCCCGTAGGCCAATGATACTCCGATTCACAGCAAACATAAAATCCATGCTGCTTACTGAGTCTTGTAACTTACTGGAGTCTTCTAATCCGCATGGCACAGGAGACAATAACACCATCTAAAAATAAAACAAGATGATCATTGTCATGGACAGTTAAAAACAATGGGGAAGGCTGGCTTCACCAACAGGAGCATTAGTGGGTAGGGCCAGGAACATCCCAGAACCCATCAGAGGCAGTTCAGTGGCCAAAACCAAATTTCAAAGGCTTTTTATTTATTCTAAAGACTCAGATTTAGCAAAAATTGTGAAAAAATATTTCCACTCCCTGACAAATTGTTTCTTTCTGCTCAACAGATAGATGGCTAGCTCTCCTCGACAAGCCTTCCGATCCCCATCCCTCCACTGGTGCCACTGAGGGCATCTTGATGCCATGTAAGGATACAGTCAAACGTCCACAAATTATGTTCCTTATTTCCTTTTGATATTTTAAATTTTGCTCGAGTGGCAAGAATAATTTTGTCTTTACGGGTTGTTGCAATGTTTTTCGGGTGAAAATACTATACCTACCTCATCAGCAAGTCCTCGGGCTTCACTTGCATGTTGCGGTTCGGCTGACCCTGAGCTTTCCAGTGGAGTACTCGGCCTAGGAAGGCTGCTGGATTGTGAAGCAATCATAGGAGGAATCCCAGATATATGCACCTTCCCAATCTGTAATAAACAAAAACATAAACATTTTTATTAGTGTAGTGTAATAATCAAAGGATATCAAAAGAATGATTATTTCATTGACAAAACTAATGAGTGCTGGGCAAAGTATGTTCGATCCTTAGTATCTAATAATGGTTTTGGGGAAGCATAGTTTAAATAAGTAGAGTTTTTAAAATCAAACTATTATATAAGTTAAGTTGGTTGGCCGAGTGTTTAAGACAGGGTCGCCGCAACATACAGCTATAATATCGGTGCTGGTTCGAATGGCACGTTCGCCTATGGTTCTGGTGGTGGAGCAAGCCTTCTCAGATAAGGACTCCGACTACATCTTTTGAGATGAGTGGTGGGTTACCCCGGTGTACTGGTCCATTTAGCTCTTTAACAGACACGAAGAGAGCCTTAGGATCCTTATATTGACTCTTTATTAAACACTGCCAAGGTGGATTATAAAAACAATCATTCAATTACATAATACCACAACAAATATGGAGACAATAAGAATGATTAATCAACGATTTCAACTTTAAACTATCTAAGAACGTTAGTTTAAAAATTGTATATGCAGCAATGTTAACTGGAACTAAATATCTCACCTTCACTAAGCCAGTGTAAAGTATCAGGCTGTTGTTGGTGTCCAGAAGCACCATCATATTCATACTCTAGAAACAAGTAAATAAATAAGTTGGATCTTTATAAACATATAAGTCCTTATTATATATATAAGGATTACAGCAAGTCTAGTATTTATATAAAATTAGCAGGAGAAAATAGTCAGCAGATACGATATGATTAGCTTGTCAAAACTGCAAAATACTGTCTTTGTGGGCACCTTTTTAGGATGTTAGCCAATCAGAAAAGAGCTCTCATGAAAATAAAATTTAGTAATCATGGTACATATATACGAATCGTGGTACACTACACATAAATTTTAACATGGCCCAGGTGCCATTGAAGGGAATGTGATGAAAATAGACAGGGCGTTGAAGGATCTGGGATTAGGTGCAGTTTAGAAAGAAATTAGTCTTTCTATTGAATATAAAAGAAACCAGTAACAAGGAAGATGAAAGAGAGTAGTCTAACCTCAATTGATACAGCATCTCTGGCTGTCAACGCTGTCACAGTGCCAAAAATGTAACTGGTTCTGTCGTTGCTGGGGCCGTATTTGACACACTTCAGTTGATTTCTCATCTCGATGAGGTAACACAGGTAGTTTTGTCCACAAAGATCAGCTGTCAAAAATACTTTTTTCGTTTTCCCAAGAACTCCATCTCTACAGGATAAGAGATTCAGCAAAGATTAAGTGCAAGATTTAATCAATTAATTAAAATTAACCTCTTTTATTCATTTTATTTATATAGTGCCTTTTCTTTGCAAAGTGCTTCTTTTTCCTGGTCATTGGAAAGATTTAAGAAAGTATTTAAAATTAACCTTTTTTATTTATCTATTTATATAATTTATATAGCACCTTTTCTTTGAAAATACAAAGCACCTCATTTTCCTGGTCATTGGATAAACATGCTTTACAGTAAGTGTTGCTGCTGGTAATCAGCGCAGGAGCAGGCAACCCCACCAGGTACCCATTTATACTCCTTGGTGAAGAGAAGCAATGCTGATAAAGTTCCTTGCTCAAGGACACAAGCAAAATATACAGTGAGGGATTGAAAACCCGACCTTGAGGTTGGCGAAAGCAAACCATTCCTGTTGCAGCAAGCCCCTTCTACAACCATATTTTAGACACTTTTGTAGGCCTTAATCAAGAATTGTTTGCATATCATTGTTGTGGGGTTTTGATGTTAAGCTTGTTACATCTGGGTATGAATTATTCTATGTTCTTTATAAATTGTAATCCTTGGGGAGTACATCAATGCTTTCATGATTCTCACCTGACATTTTGTGACTGCTCTGTCCAGCAATGATCCAGACACAGCGCAGGTGCTAGAGGTTCTGATACCACTGCTGAACTCTCATTAAACACCGATGTAGAGTTGTGGGGCGACAGGCCATAACGTGCAAGTGAATGCGGTCCAGGAGAAGGCGTGGTGAGGCCACTACCAGCTGGTGACTGAGAACGACTGCAAGGAAAACAAAAACACAAACAATTCAACGATAAAGATATACATGATATTGATAATGAGTGATGATGATGAACACAACAAAGACAGCAAAAACAACATCTAAGAATAGATAACTTTATTTTAGCTTGTTTAATGACTACTCTGACAATGATTATAATATTATCATATTTAATAATGATTATTGATTATTATGATAATCATATTACCGATGATTGTAATAATAAAATGATAAGGATGACAATGAAGAAGATGAAGATGACCATGATGATGATGATGACTAGGAAGATCACTATAATGATTATATTGACTGATGATAATGATTATGATGATGATGACTATGATATAATGAATCTAATAAATATGTTGATGATATTAATGGTCTAAACATTTAGTAGTTGTTTTACCTCATAGCAGCCATATGTGATAAAGCAGGGCTCTGTTGCCGGGACGATACCATAGGTGAAGCACCTCTACTAGCAATATTCCTATAAGGTGACACACCTGGGGAGTAACTGAGCATGCTCAAAAAAGACTGACCACCTGAGCTTAGAAAGCCCAAAGCGCTGGAGCCGTAGCTAGCATGTGGTGTTGCCGACTGGTTCCTGTGAAGGTACATTGGATTTGACATGTCAATCAAGCCAGTCGCTGTACGCCCTTCCTGGAATTGAAAGGAAGTGATCACACAATTATTATCTATATCATAGTGTCATTATTAATATGCAATATAATACATACCTACAGTATGTGTAGGCTTCGTAAAAAAATTCTGTTTTATTATAATGAAAATGCCTACAATTCACAACTAGAGTTCAATCAAAATGCAGGTTTACTCTATTTATCTTATGTTTAAATTTAAGTAGATTTATGAATTTTGTATTTCAATCCAATTTAACATTTGGATTTGTCACTTCTTTTTATTTGCAATGTTTTCACATGACAAACCTCAGGTTTGGCTTCACGTAACATCCAAACAGAGTGGACACCAAGAGCTGTGTCAAAGGTCATCACCAAAGAAGGCTCGTCACTTGTAAAAACGATGCACTGTGTGTGGTCTCTCATCAAACAAACCTTACTCGTTAACCCAACTATAAATGAAATTTGGTGGAATAATATTTTACAAGTGGAAAACACCGACTTCACAAGTTCTAATGAACGCAGCATTAGCTCCAGCCCATATGAGCCCTTGTGGCTTGACAAGAATTAACTAATAAAAATTTGCTTTTGAAATAACATCATAAATACCAACTTTATATCATTTATGCGCGCAAATTCTGTAATAACGCAGTGTAGGGTGCCCTCTGGCACAAGTGATTACTTTTCAACTTTTACATCATGGATCTTGAACTAAAGATAGCGTAACTCAAAATTTATACGTGCGAATTCTGTAACAACCATGGTAACAACTAGGATGCACTCTCTCAAAGATGATTAGTATTTATGCTTTTTTTTTTACTGAAAATTTACACTTCTACTTGTTACGTTTAAGAATCTCGGAAAGAGCTGTCTTGTTATTATAAGATCTTTGATTTACATTACCTATAAACTTGACTGCGAAAATAAGAAGCCTTCAACTAAACAACAAAATTGTGTGTTTGTTGTTTCTTACCTCCATATCGACTAGCAACTGGGGCTGGCTCATCTAAAGGATGTCTGAGACTGAACATCGTTGGAAGATTACCAGAGCCACTTATTTTTGGAACAAAACAGACAATTTAAAAAAAAAATTAATAGAGTGGTAAGTCTTCTTCATTTAGTATTGTAACATTTCTTGTATAAAAAATTAGTACCAGTACTAAAAGATGTTTTTAGAGACAAACATTGTTAAGAGAAATACAAATATTTTACATACCTCTTTGGACTAAAAACTTCTCCAGAAGTAATAGATCTTTCAAAAAGTAAACCATTCTTGATCTTCCAGGCTTGTGACACCTATGAAAAGAACAAATCTTATTTGAATTAACAATTTCCATTTAAGTGCATCAATAAAAAATCAAAATTTACATTAAACTTTAAAGAGGTTTTTACAGGGTTCCCATTCCCCAGAAGTCGCAGGGCCAGCACGGTCTCCCACGCTTTTGCCAGCAAGCTAAAATCTCTCTGAAACTATACCACCTCCCGAAAATTCAGAATATTCACCGTTTATTGTCTGCCTAAAGTTAGCAGGCTATGTGTATCATCACGTGCAACAGAACGTAAGATTTGTTAAGATAGCTCATTAAACCAATGTCACAGAAATGGCAGGGACCCCTGTAGTTGGAAAGTGAGAGCCACATAACTGACAAAATTGTCCATTCTGGATATGCTTACTTGAAATGGAAGAGCAGCGCAGAAATCTTCTCCTCTGTCAGTGTACACATTAACAGCACCCTTATGAGTAATAGCAATTGTGTTGAGAACCTCTGCAAACAAATACCAACATAATGATTTTTTAAGGCATCCAGACATGTAGATTTAAATGTCTACAAATTATGTAATTCTCTTTCTATTTTTTCTTTTTATTCTTATTTATTTGTTCATTTTTTCTCTCCTCGCTTTCCTCTACAAGGAAGTTGAAGAGGTACTGTTACTTACATGAGGCTTGCCATCCCAAAAACCAGTGCAGTGTCGATAATTCTTAAATTGAGTAATTAGCATAAAGAACATGGTATTATCATATACTTTAGTAAAGAGGAGCCACAATACTTTTAAGTAAGATGATTCCAGTAAATGAACTATCATTTTAAGTTTATAATGTGGAGAATATGAATATAATAAAAAAGTCAATTTTCATGTTTCAGTCACTAATGCTGGTTTTGGTTACTTTTAAGTAAAAACTGTACAAAATAAAAACTAGTACTGAACAGGCATGTGTGACAAGACTGTGAAAACTGACTAAAAAATTCTACAAGATTTGCGTATAAGACAGTTAAATATCAACTAACCTTCTACAGAGTCCGAGTTACGTTTTGAATTGAAGTCACACCAATGGGCCTAGAACAGGAAAAAGAAAATTCTCATTGCTAATAGATAAAAGAGTAGGATGACAACATCACTGAATTAATATATATATGTATCACTACTGTGCAATTAATCATGTTGCAGATAAAGATTTTGTGAAGGATATGTGTGGTTTGCCTATATATGGGCATAATGATGTCATATCAAATCCCTATTATGGGCATGATGATATTATATCACATCCCCATATTGGCGGGATGATATCACATTCATTATGGCTATGATCAAACAATAAAAGCATGTTAGTGTGCGGGCAAAAAAAAAATTTCAGTAGTATACGAATATTGACTGCTCATCATGAGGGGAATGATGAAACCTATTGCCCTGAGCTGATGTAAAGATCGTATCCTATCTTCCCAAGGGCCGAGGGAAGATAGGCTACAATCTCCACATCACCGAGGGGCAATACTGTAGATTTCACCATTCCCCGAATCTAGAGCAGCCAATAAGTTGTTTTATATACCGCATACCAGATTCTACGAGGCCTAAAAAAGTACTTCCTAGCCTAGAGGCCTACTATTAACTAACTAGTTCCTAGTAGGCCTAGGCGATCAAAGAGCATGTCTAGCTCTTCTATGCTCATTTCCTCAATTTCAACCCATCGTCTTGCAATATTTGTCGACTATTGACAAGACGAATTTACTGTAATTTTTCTTTTGGTGATTTTGCTATAAGCTTCGTCAAGTAGTATAGGCCTAGGGTAGTCTTTCTCCATCCAGGAGCTCGAACCGACAGCCTCCACAATTATATTTTATCGTCTACTTGCTGAGCCGTGGCAAGGTTGAGAGCCAATCTTTTTTGTCGTAGAGGTCGCATTCCCTTTAACGTCAGCTGGTGGAGCCTAGAGTTTGCACCACAAAAAGGTACTACTTTTCAAGGGAATAGTACTTTTTCAGGGGAATAGTACTTTCTATTGCCCACTTCTTAACCAATTAGATGCCTAGAATCTATGTATGAGGTATGTAATATATAATATATAATGCACTGTTAATTGTTATAAGGTATTGAGTAGTCTGAATATTTACATGTATAATAGGAGAATTTATAGTAAAAGTCTTGTGGACGACCCTGTGCCCTGGACTTCCTTTACTCCAAACGACAGTTGATCCGTGGATGTAGAGCTCTTCGTCACTCACCATTTGACTACCTGTCTGTCGGTTCCTCATGTACCATGATTCCTGATGGATCAAACAGATAATATTTTGTTTATTTATTGGTTTACTTCTATAATGTTAGGACTACAATTTGCTTCTTCTATTTGCTTATGTTTTAAATCATCAATGTGTTTTAATTTTAATTATTTTTTTCTATTTGGAGTAGAAAATATTGGGAGATTACATGTAATTTCTTTGATCTGATTTAAATTTATTCAGCAATCAAAGTTAAATACGACAACAATATAAGACAAGGTAAAAGCAAATAAAATTGAAAAATCTGAAAGCAAGGAATAGCCCAAAAAGGTTTCAAAGAAACATATTTCCATTGGGATCCTGCAAATGAAACATTCAATTGCATGAATGAATAGGTACATTCAGAAAGGTTATATAAACATAAAAAAAGAAAATTTAAATTTAAAGACATTAACAATTTTAAAACTTCTGACCAATTTAAATTCTTCCAGAAATTCACTTTTTAAAAAAGAAAGACTGCAGAACAACACACTTGGCAACATTAGAAAACATTGAACACTTTTACATTCCAGAGGTGATCTTTGAGATACTTTTTAAATAAGTTTAAAAGATGTGAAAAGCTTTATTTAGTGTTATTTAGAGCCTAAAGTGGAAATGAAGGCAAGGGATTGTTGGTTAAATGCTCAAATATTAATTTACCTTTGGTTTATCATGTATCTGGACATCTCGGAATGCAGCAATTGGTATGTCTACATCTTGCACTGGGCTTGGTGGACGACTGTCACTTAAGCCGCCAGGATGGCGTCCACAGAACCCTCGGCCGAACGGGACAAAGTCATGCGGATCACTGGCGGCAATCATTGCCTGATAATTTATAGTAAAATTATGTGAACATATTTCATTAAAAAAAGATACAAATAGTGTGTGTGGGTGTGTTATGTACACTGATCTACTAAAAAATTAACTTTCAATTAATTGAAACAATTCAGTTGTTCACTACATTACAAATTCCAGATTTTTTTACTATTATAAATCCTTACTAAAGTCCTCTCTATCATGGTAGCTGCAGTGCATTAGTTACAGACACCTGACCTTATATTCACTGCCAGCTAAATTAATCATATCATAAGCAAAAGTGTATAGTAACTAACAGTACTAATACTATCCATACTATACAGTAAAGTGTTTTAATTGTGTAGATGATACCTCAAAAACCAGCTCAAATTTGCGCTAAAAATTGCTGGGAAAATAGTTGTGTAAATGCTGCATAACACACTGTTTATATATTAAGATTAGGTCAAAGCATTATTTTTGGCAAAAAACGGCCCTTATTTTCCGGAATGTGCAAACAGACTAGGCCTAATTTTTGCATGGAGGGTACAACCGCACACACCGCAGGCCTTACCATACAGTCTGGAACCCGTAGTACTGTATTACTGCTTCTGTGTAATGAATCATGTTAATATTGTCTTGTATGCCTAGTACTGTAATAAGGCATACTGCTATACAGTATTCAGCTAGGCCTAACTAACCCCATTCATTATTGTGGAGTTATTTGTGCAGTGATTCATTTTTCTAGTTTTAGAAATCAACATAGGCCTTATAATAATAAAAGGTGCCAATTCCAAGAATGATCAAAGGCGCGAGCATTATTACCCCTGGTCACTGGATAACGTACTGTACAATGGCAAACCACCACAAAGTGCAACTTCCTCTGCTCTGCAATTGGGCAGAAATTATACGACACACTGGAAGCCTCTATAGTCGTCTGACCGCGATGCGGATTTGATTGTATAATAGTGCGATTGGGTGTTAGGCCTAGTATAGTAACAATACACCATCCTAATTATTTGTTAATTAACTTAGGCCCCTAATTAGTTTGGGAAAAAAACATAATTATCGGATAATATGAAAGTCAAATTATCAAAGAACATGTAATATATGATGATCATCATGTTATACTAGGGCTACAGTAAGTTAGTGATTGAATAATTGTACGTTTTAAATACTTTGGTAACTGCTTTCAGGGCCGAATGCCAAACCGTATTAGCGCCGGCCTAGCCTTCCGCCTTCCCTTCCTTGGTCATTCAGCTAGGAAGACCAAATCAGGCTAGCCTAGGCCTACCTAGGCCCTAGGCTATATGCTAGATCATGCACTGCACGGTACAGGGTAAGAGGACGCCGCATACCATCGACCTTCTACATCGATTGATCAGGGTTTGGTTGACTTAGCCTAGTAGGAATGTGCTTTTTTCTTTGCTTTGCTAAACTTACTTCTTCTCTAGCTCCCGCCAATTTTGCTGATCCTGATATCGTTTTCTAACATAAATAAATACACTGGCCTTGATTTACTGGCGTGAAAAACAATCTTAGCAAATACGAGCAAGCAATTTTGTAACATTGAATGGTCCCGCGAAATCCTTGCCAGGCTGTTCACATAAATTCAGCCAACACACAGGGGTCCAGGCTCTACTTACTACAAAAGTAACATAAAATCGTTGTATTTAGCTATCCACCATAACTTAATTATTATATAATTAAAGTATACATATCTTTATTTGAATTTAAGTCAATGAATAAGGTTGCAATTTCAACATAGGATATTATGTGACATTTGGGTAAAAGCGAGAGGTCAAGTGACGTCAGACTTGTTAAATTAAAGGACACTTGGTGGTGCGCTGCATATCAAAACAACAACATTGTAAAATCGTCATTCGCGCGTGATTTATTTACCTCTGAAAATCCGAAATTTTAGACTGTTGGAGAGGATAAATGGTATTGTATTATATACCAAATACATACTGATAAATGCAAGTATTTATATATGTACAATAAATTACAATACATAACGTAATTTAGTGTGTAAATGTATTGGGAAAATTTCGATAGGATTAGCCTTAGGAACGGAGGAAGTGGACGTGCCACATCGGTTTACCTTGTCAGCTGATTGACCTTCCTATGTGTAGAGGCATTCTGAATATCGTGCCTACAAATCAAGTACTGTAGTCAATTCTCTTGTACTATTTTTTTTTGTTTTTGTGGTGTATGCTCATATTTTCTTAATGTTCTATTCAGTAATAATTGAAATGTTTTCTTTTTTTCTGTAGACCTTGCATATCCTAGAATATATTATATTTTTTAGGAAGAATTTACATTTACGATGGGGCGCATATTTCTGGACCACATTGGAGGCTCTCGCCTGTTCTCGTGTGCAAATTGTGACACCATTCTGACAAACCGGTCAGAATTAATTTCAACTCGCTTCACCGGTGCGACAGGAAGAGCATTCCTTTTCAATAAAGTCGTGAATCTTGGCTTTAGTGAGGTGCAAGACCGTGTGATGTTGACTGGTCGGCACATGGTTCGAGACGTATCCTGCAAGAAATGTGATGCTAAATTGGGGTGGATTTACGAGTTTGCAACAGAAGAGAACCAACGATACAAAGAAGGGCGCGTCATTCTCGAAAGAGCATTGATAACAGAAAGCGAGGGCATGGAAGAGAACTCAAATTCAGACAGTTAAATTGGCAGACTTTATTTACAGAATAATTTATATTTACATTTGTAAAAAAATGCATTTCTGCAATAAATTATTTTAGATGTCTTCTATTACAAGTAACACTCACCATGAAGAGTAATGATTATGGAAGAACATTAAGAACTCACAATACAGTAGACTTGTAAAACTTCATTGGGCATAAAATTTTAAGACAGAGTAACACAGTATTTTGTATCGCCAGCCAAATGCTTGTAAACATAAACATTAATTTGCATGTTATTTCAATCTTTGCAAGTATTATTTCATAAAATACTAATACCTGTATTTGAAAAAAGGACATGTACAGTAAATCGTGGTTAAAGATATTTAAAGGGCCATTTTCTTGCTCTGTTTCTGGATATTTTTAATGATGGAGGTACAGTACTGTACATACAAAAATCAACTAAACATTTTCCTAGTTACTTTGATCAAAATATTCCAGTTGCTAACAATACAACAACAGGCAGTTATAAAGCACCTTCTAATCTAAAGATCAAAGGCTGTAAATAGAGGCAATTGTAAGAATGAGGGTAGTGTGGATTACCCAACTTAACTTTAAATTTTTGTCCACAAAATCATTGGATCAGATTTTTCCTTTCTACTGTTGTTGGTACGATACTTGCAAGTGCACATTATACATTTTGAATGAGAATCATTTTGTGTCTATACTGTAGCTGAAATTATGACAATGTAAAGTTGGATTGTTAGTACACAAAAGTTGTAAAAGTATAATTGACATAATGTTTATACTGTATGACATAGATAAATATAAGCAGCAGTATACTGAGCACTTTGTATATTATTTAAATATGAGTTTTTAGTTTGCATCCACTTTGAAACTCCATGCTCAACTGACTAATAGTAATAACAATAATAATTTTAATGATTATTATTACAATTATTACGTTTTATACTTTGTGTTACTGTTGTTCCTTAGGTATAACCTACCTTGGATAAAAGTGTCCAATTTCACATGCCAGCATTTTCCCTGTCAAAGGCCTAATTATTAGCTCACCTGAATTTTATTAGTACGGGTCTCCCTCCAATTAAAGACCACTTTTGGGACCGGGGTTTCCATGGTCTATAGCATCTTCAGTTTTTAATTACTGTAGAATAATAAAGATAAAAGAAAGTTGTTCTTTTGGGACCACAGAAAAGTGGTTTTTAATTGAAGGGAGACCAGTAAATAAAAAAGGAGGGTTTTCTTTGAAATGGGCGTGTAGTTTAAATTCACGGGACATGCTGTCAAACGAATTCTCCATGTATGGGCCATTTCTTAAATCCCTCAAAGGAAATTCTCTGTGTATGAGGCAATCCCCACCCCCCTCCCTAACCCCAAAAAAAAGAAATATCTGCCATGATCAAAGGGCGGGTTTATGCCGTCCAAGGAACTACACCATTTTTGATGTGTTGGAAATAGCATATACTGTAAGCATTTGTATACCAATCTATATTTTTCTAGTTAATTAACTAGAACAGTATATTAATTTAATTTAGGTGTTTTTGATTGAAGTAAACACTTTTGATCTAAGATCAATTTTATTTTATAAATGCTATTACTAATTTTACGAATACAGTATACCACCCATTCAAGGAATGAGGCTAGGCCAATACCAAGAAATTGCATAGTCATTACCTTATTTTTTTAAACTAGTTGTTTATTTGAATTCTAAAGATTGTGTATTACAAAAAGTGACATAAAGAGTTAATCCTTTAATTAATGTTACTTTGGTATATTTAAGTAAACCATTCATCGTTTTAATGGTACAAATGTAGCTTGTTAATTTATTATTATTATGTTATTTTGCTACTAGTGTATTACATTAGTGTGGTGATTTATATTTTTAGTTAAGAAATTGTGATGTCATAGTAGTTGATAAAAGGTATCATCTGAATGGGTTGCTTTCTTTGTCAGTGACTAAGTGATAAGTGTCCCCACATGGGTCCAAGTCCATTGACTGGGCTCCCATTTCCCTGACAGGTGGTCTAAACCCACCTCAGCAACAAATAGTTGGGCTGAGGAGAGCAGATTTTAAGAATATGCCCTCTCGATGCTCGGAAATGGCATGGTATACAAGCAGATTTTTCCAACAAAATGTTTTTTGACTCTGGCCAAATTGTAAGGTCAGGGTTACCGGGAAGGGATCCTGTGTCCCCCTGGACCCCCGCAGGCACAACCACTTTTCATCGTGAATTTTATCCATACATAGTCGTTCATGGTCTTAAAAAGATACCTTGAAGAATGGGTGTCATTTCATTTTCAGTTAAGCACGTGTGTGGCACAATATGTAGTTATAGATAGAATCTCAGAGAGTGATGTAAAGTTAGTTCAAAGGAGGATACCACCTCACTTTAGCAGTGTCTCATTGATTTTGTTATGCATGTCATACCAGACTCTACATTTGGTTGTGTTATGTACTGCACATTACAGTTGCTTACAGTAGTGTTTAAATGCTCAGCTTGTTAAATGAAAGCAAAATGCAGTGTACATTTTAAAATAAAATGCACCATCAAGTCTATAGTAATCAGAGACATATATAATGGCTGTTTTTTTATGGCACTGGTAATAGTTAAGAGTTCCTATATAGAGAGAGTTGCGACATGAGCAGTTCACATCATGTGACTACTGGACGCCCTCTATCTGCCATCTTGTGTCCACAACCTAATCAGTGGTGCATAACCAACAAAAATATAAGAAATTGAAACTAAATTCTTGACCTCATGTTAATATTTAAAAATTCATAACTCCATAACGAAGGGTCGTGTCACATTATTTTTTTCTTTCTTTTTATTTTTTTATTTATTCAAATGGCATAACATTTTCTTAATATTTTTATTTTTTTTCAATTGCCTGTTATTTATGCAATTACCACACTGTAACATAGGTGTTGAAGTGTTCATTCATGCATAAAAGGACAATGGAGTCCCACTAGTGGCTAATGTCGCAACTCTCTCTATATAGGAACTCGAGTAATAATTAGAGTTCGTAAGAACTCTAGTAATAATTCATGGAGACTGCCCTTGTCTGGTGGTATTATGATAAATGATGTTTCTTAGTTGCAGGAAGCTAGGAGAAATCAGATGATATATCTTGTTTTTTGACAAAAGCCGGGCACTAACTGTGTCGTACGACCATTATACAACAAATCCAACTCTGATCCTAGTGACCGCTAGATGATGCAACGCTGTCTGCAGATTGTCTGTGGCAGTCTGATCGGATCGTCATTAAAAAGGACTTTCTGCGCACACTTCATTGCATTGCGTCCTCCATAGAATCGCCTCGGCCGACGACCATTCGGTACAGTGAGCTGCTGGCTTTAGAGGAATTATTTACATCTTTGTATGCAGTCTCTTTTCTCAAATTAACAATTATGAAAGTGTGTGTAACAGTTGCCTCCTACGTGATTTTGTGAATGTAAAAGAAGTTGTTTCATTTGAATTTTACATAAAATAATAGCACTGTAAATCCAAGATAAACATCAAAGAACTGCGATGATGTGGGAAATCACATTCTATGAGGATAGCCCACTTCTTGGTACAAAGCTGACCATAAATTTCAAACACTGTCAAAAAAAAAGACTAAATTACACGACATATCATGCAAGAAATGAAAAATTGAGAACAAATGCATAAAAGGTAAACGAACACTTGTCTTTAGCACATTGGGCGCCTCATAGTTATCGAGCGCATCAGCACGTACGTCACGAATAATAATAATAATAATAATAATAATTTATTTGGATATTCACTTTTGAATCAGTGGCACTCAACCACAGGGGTGGTGCATGCTAACAACAAGAAAAAATATAAAAATTAAAATCAAATGAAAGACATCAAAACAACAAGATGCGTCAACACTAAAGACACATTCGGCGCTTCATAGTTGAAGACAGCTCCGTTGTGAGGACGGATGTCGTTCACGGAGAATGCACCCGGCGTGTTTGTTTTTTAGAAGATGATGATAATCGTGCTAAAATAATTTTAAATCTTAGAAATTCATTATTATCTACATTATAAATTATAGGTCCATACGAGGTAGGTACCTACTTCCCGGTGGTTGGGGGTTCGTGCGCGAGGGTGTATGTAGGCTAGGTTAGGCCTATGCCTACCCGGTGATTCCCCGAAATGGCGGTGGGGGCGTTTTTAGTAGGACTAGGGTAGGCCTAGCATAGCTAGTCATAGGACAAGTATAAATATGAAAGTGTACAACAGTTAAATACAGTAAAATTGAGGCTAAATTGTCATAGAAGTAAAAAAAAATCGTGAGAGAACGACAACAACAATATATAATAATATTAATAAAACAACAACACTAATAATAATATTAATAATAAAACATACAAATTCAATAATAAAAAGATTGGAGGAAACAATAAAAACAGTAAACATTTTAATAAATAAAACTTTCAAATACAGACAAAATCAGGCTAAACAAATTTATTTTATAAAAGTAAAAAATGCGAAAGAATAATAATAATAATAGTAATGAAACTTTAAAATGTAGACAAAATGAAGCATCTAAATAATTCGTCATAAATGTGTATAAATATTTTTTTTAAACCGATTAAACATTAAAAGTGGGAAAAAGAGCCCATGGCAATATTTGATTTGCCTGTCGGATTCAGAAAATTATGCGGCTAGCCTTGGCATTGATTTTGCTCCTTTGTCGTTTTAGTCTATGCCTATTGCCGTTTTGGTCTGTTTCCGTTTTGGTTCATTAACGTTTTGGTTTATTGCCGTTTCCGCCTACCCTACTAATACTATTCTAGGCCTATATAATACTATCTTGTTGGTCATGCCTAGGCTAGTTCGTTGTTTTGGCTGCTTACCTTTTTTTTGTTTCGTTTTGTAGATAAAAAATGATTATGACATCATTTCCACCTGATATTGTATCTAAAGATGATATTCACAAATACAAGTAAGTTAACTACCTTAGAATTGTTACATTGATATTAGTGTATTAGTTTTCCCACCCTAGGCCTATACAACAATTAATATATGTAAGGAGATTTAACTGTTATTTAGTAATGGATTAAAGTCAATATGACTGCATACATCTTCCCCCAAAATTGTACTTGTTTTGATATGACAAAATTCCCAAAAATATTTTAATTAAAAGAATATTATTGTTTTTAAATCTGAAATCAGACATGTGGGGTGATATAATTTAAGCATTTTTTTTGGCAGGGATTTGCATTACAAATTTTTGGTTTTATATTAACTTATCGCTGTTTTAAGTAATCAGCTGTCAAATGTATTTTCTTATAGTGAACTTCTCAACGATCCAGAGGTGACTGCTGATGCTAATAAGTTGCGACAGATACTCCAGAGCTTGTTAGTAGAGATGACCAGTGGCATGGACATTTCTGAAGTGTTTATGAGCGTCATTAAGGTCTTAATTTAAAGTTATTCTTTCTTAAAATATTGTGTATTTTTTAGTATTTAATATTTACCCGTAAGGCCCAAGGGAAGTTTGATTGAAAGGGATGCTTTTCAATAACCATAATGGATTCTCCTTAGTAAACTCGAGGACATCCCAATCAAACATCTCTGGACATGTAACCTACTGCATTTGAGATTAACCTGCTGCATTTGAGATTTAACTGGTGAGCATTTGTCGGTAATTAATGGTAGACTGTTAAAAACATAACTTGGAGGATCATTTTTGTGTTGAATTGCATACAGTATGGGTATGAATTGTCCAGCAATTACTTGTCCAGTTGTTTACTTATTACTGAGTTGATATATATTCAGCAGGTAATACTACTTGTCGATGAGATTTATTTGTCCCAATATTGTGTAATTTTATTCAGGTATGCGGTAGCTCTAACATGGTAATCAAGAAGCTAGCCTATCTGTACCTGAGTCATTATGCCGAAGAAAAACCAGACCTGGCCCTGTTGGTGGTGAACACACTACTAAAAGATTGCAAGCATCCAAATCCAATGATACGAGGCCTAGCTCTGAGGACATTTTCCTCCTTGAGGTACTGTACGTCTCTAACCTTGTTATTAAATTGACAATGAACCTCAATATTTGAGTTGCTTACTTTATATATAGTACTTTATTATTACCTTTCAATTCAAAATCAGTCAATCAATCAGCCTTATGGGCCACTTGGTCTGAAGAGTAAGTAAGGCAATCAACAATCCAAGCATCTATCAACAACAAATCAATTAACCAAATGTTAATCAATCATCCATCATCCATCCATCAATAATCAATCAATTTATTTATAAAATTTATTTTTTGTGATATAGTTGTTAATTTTATTTCATAATCAATGGGCGCCCGTTATAAAGCTTGCTTGCTGTGGCGACCCTTTTTCCACGTTATTTAAATGTTCTGATGGGCCCATTCTTATCAATTATTGTTTTTTTTCCTTATGTATTTCTCCGTCTATGTAGTTTGTATTGATGATGTGGAAATAAACTTTATATTGAATTGAATTGAATCTTTAATATTAATCAATCAGTCATCAATCAACCATCCATAAAATAATCATAACCAAGTCCATCCATCAATCAAGCATCACTTACAGAACACTAGTGTCTACAGCACATGACTTTAAATCATGATTACAAATTTAATACAAAATGATAGTAATTTTTTCATCAGCGGTTTTTAGCATCTAGAATTCTTTACCCTATAGGGTGCCAGCTTTTTTTGAGTACTCTACACAGGTGTGTCTGGACGGTCTTAAGGATAAGAGTGCTTACGTAAAGCGAATTGCAGTGAATGCGTGTGCCAAACTTCATAACCAACACCCACAATTTACTCAGGGTAATATCTTCTAAACTTCTGCTTTGTATAAAGTGTAGCTAACAAATACGATTTATTATGATTAGGTATAAACAAATCTTGTGTTAATGGGTATGGCATTTGTCTTTCTTCACCCAAAAGTATAAATGGGTACCTAGTAGGAAGTGAATTCTTTTAAATATTTTTAGGACTAAGAATACTCTTGAAGAAACAGAGGGTGGTGATACATAGTGTATGTGATTTGATTTTTCATCCAAAAAAAACCACATTTCTATTACCAAAAGTAGTCAAGACATTCATTTTTTTTTACAGACAACAACATTGTTGATACATTGTATGGTATGATACGAGATAAAGATCCTATTACAGTTATCAATTGTCTTATGAGTTTAGAAGAGATACTGAGGATGGAAGGAGGTGTGGTCATCAATAAGAAGATTGCCTATTATCTCTTAAACAGGTTAGTCCATTGAATGACAGAGGAAACTGCTCAGTGGCTGAACTCCATGTTCACCAGTTGGTTTAAGATGAAAAGTTTGGGGTTAGTATTCCTATTAGAAAAAAGGAAGATTGAAGATTGAGATAAAAGCTGATGCTAGTGACAGCATATTTTATTTAAAGTTTGTGATAGAGACATTAAATTATAGAATAAATTGTTAAAGTGACAGAGTGTATTGGAAAATCTACTGCATTAAATTCATATGCAAGATTGGTATTAATATGGAAATTTGTAAATGATTATCATTCATTACAACTTATGTTTTTTTCTTTTGTTAAAGATTAAAAGAATTCACAGAATGGGGTCAGAGCCTCATTTTCAATCTTTTGCTGAAATATAAGGTCAAAGGTGAAGATGAGGTCATAGATGTGTTAGTAAGTATTAGCAAGATAATAGGGTGCTTTCGATTTGTGCGACACTAGAACGGAATCACTCATGCGTGACCGTCCTACCTGGCGTCCCACGTTCTCTGCATACGTAGTTTTGGCCAAATTGCGTTCCAGAATCTACTCGACGAGGCGACCTTATTGTTCTCGCATGTGCAGATGATTTTTAGTGATGTCATTACGTTCTACGTCCTGCTGTCATTGTACAATCGAAAGCTTCCTATTATAATTCAGGACAACTCAATTTTTGAACTCGGGTGTCTTTTTCCTGAGCCCCAGAAATATTTTTTTTTAATAATTAGTAAAATGCTATGTCTTACAGAATCTAAGTGATTCATACTTGAAGCATCCAAACTCAGGAGTAAGTCTTGCTGCAGTCACGATGATGTTACATTTGACCTCTGGCCTCAGTATCCGAGACGATGTGTACAAAAGAGTAAGAGGTATAGTGATAACCGTAAAACTTGGAGATTTCTACTGTCTTTATTTGCTTATTTTTTTTATTGCGGAACTTACCCCTTTTAACGTAATAGTGGAATGGTCTGTATGTATTAACAACATGTTCATTTTCTTCCTATCTTTATTTAAATATGTATAATAATATATTACATTTTTAATATGTGTAATTTTAATATATAATAAAATTGTATGCAATTAACAGTATTTTCCCTTTATTGTGTATTAAATTAAAAATTCAGCACATGCTATTATCTAATGCATTTTCTCCTGTACAATTCATTCAGGCCCTTTGTTGAATGTGCTAACAAGCAGTAGCTCTCATGAACTTGTGTTTGCCGCCCTCTGTCACATTCAGTGGATATTGGCAATCTCTCCAACACTTTTTACGAAACATTATAAGAAATTCTACTGCCGGTGAGTGTTTATCCTTGGTGTTTACACCGAATAAACCCTTCTATCCAGGTATCTACATTTATGAATATTTATTAGTACTTGTTTATGCAATAGTTACATATTTTACATGTGCACTTATTTTTCAGGTATCAAGAGCCAGAGTATATAAAATTCAAGAAGTTAGATCTGCTACAAAGCCTTATCACACCTTACAATCTCCAGGATATTGTTGAAGAAATAAGGTAAAAGAAACTATTGAAGTATTACATATTAGTATTTAAAATTTTTTTATTTAATTACATTAACATTCTGGGTTCCATATCCATGAAATGTCATCGTCTGTCCTCTCCATCTTTAAAAGTTCCTTCCCAGGCCCATCCACATCAAATGCCTTGATCCACCCGTTTATGCTACATACTGTACATATTGTTTACATCAGTGCCTCCATGGCCCGGCATACAGAAGAAAAGAAAACGAAGATAGTGACGATCGTCAAAAAAGTTTATGACAGATAAAATGGAAGCTTGTTTACAATAAGTTAGCGTTATATTTAGAAAAATAATAAATAAGAGATATTTTGCCATGGTGATAAACACAGAACTGAAAAAATAATAATGCTATTTTATATATATGTTAAACCCTGACCTCTTATCTCTCTATTGTTTTTTTGATATTATACAGCGTATATTGTAATGATGTGTCATCAGTATTTGCCACACGTTCTGTGAAGACCATTGGATCCATCGCAAAGAAGCCTTCTTGTACAAGCATCTGTCTTAATTATCTACTGAGCATGCTCCAGTTACAACTTAGTCATGTGATCTCGGAAGTGCTTGCTGGCTTCCAGGGTAAAATATTGTGGATGTTGATGAAAAACCAAAGAGTTGAAGTCGAATCCAAAATAGCATTAAAAAATTGTTTGTCTTAGATAAAATTAGACTTAAAGAATGTTATTTGATGGAAATACAACAATTTGGCATGTAAAATATGATCAACTTAGAAATTAACTACTTAAAACAACCTTCAAAACACACAAATTCATTGTATTGTGAGTGATGAGGAGGCATATACCTCGCAGTTGCAAAATACTAGTGTCTACTATATTGTGGAACAGAGTGTCAATGCCAATGGGGGACTTACAAAATTCATTTTTCTGCCTTAAAGATCTGCTACGTTATGAGACAAACACAAAATATGTGGACAAAGTGATGGAGCATCTACCAAGCTGCGCATCTTTTGTGTCGGACATTAAAGGAAAGACTGCACTCTTGTGGCTGGTAGGCCACTATGGAAAGGTAGGACCACAAAGTGTAATAATAATTAAAATAAACCAGCATAATCATGTTGTTCGATTATGTATTCTTACCCACAATCCATCATATGTAGAATCTGCCTGATGCCCCATACTTACTGGAGGACTATGTTGAGGCGTATGATCAGGAACATTCGTCCCAAGTGAAAGTAGCACTACTCACAGCAACCACTAAACTGTTCTTCTACCGACCTGCAGAATGCCAGTCTATGCTGGGAAAGTTATTGGATAGTGCTATAGGTATGCATGTAATACATATTACATAAATGTAGTAGTTATATACTATGTATGTAAACAATTATACAACTGTGCTTTCAATAAATGCTTTAACTTTAATAGACGAAACATTCTAAAAGAAAGCAAAATTTAATTGTGCATGTACATTGGTTGTATTGAATTTTATTTCAAAATTAATTGGCATCTAACCCTCTTAACTATTTACAATTTCAGCAACAGAAGATGATATTGAGGTCAAAGAGAAAGCTATGTTATATTACAGACTATTACAGGCTGACGTCCAAAAGGTAAAGCCAATCACATCACAATTACTCCCCATTTTTTCAGTTTTTCTAGGAGTACCTTTCACATTAACTAGACCTGCAACACTTACAACATTCTCTGCCCCTAGCTTTAGTAGATTTTGCAGACAAATAAATTTGCCATATTGTACCAGGTACCAGTTTAATCTTGGACCAAGGTAGTGAAGCTTATTTTTCAAAGCGTATTCTGCTTTCTTCCGTCTTTCAGGCTAAGAATGTCGTCTGCGCATCATTACAACCAATCCCAGGAAATTTAGAATTGTCAAAACTGCATGATATTCCAGAAGGGCAGTTTAACTCACTGTCATTGCTCTTAGGTGAGTGTACTCTTCATTTTTTTTTTTATTATTGCCAATTAATTCTCTTTTATAAGCAAGTAATATTTATGAGTCACTTTAAGCTGGAGTATAAAGAGCAGTATAAAAGCAGTACACATTAAGGTTTTTGGGAGCGCACTGCAAACACGATAAATCAAAAATTAACTTTGGCTCCCGCTAACCAATATTTATGCCCACCCCTGCCTTAATTTATGCTACATACTATAAGTTAAGGCTAGCAGAAAAAATCTAAACCGTAAAGAAATATATGTAAATAGAATAAATGTAACTTATAGGAGAACAACAAAGATAAGTAATTGTTTTATAAAACCTGCATTGTAATGCTTTTAAAAATTATCAAACCCCCGACCAATATTTATGCCCACCCTGCCTTGAAAAAATACATGTAAATAGAATAAACGTAACTCATAGGACAACAAAGATAAGCAATTGTTTTATAAAACCTGCATTGTAATGCTTTTAAAAATTATCCAAAAATTGTTTTTCTACCTAGACAAGGATTCTTTGCATAGGGTCAAAGAAAGTGCAACAATTAATCAAGAATTGTCACCTGCAATTAAAAAGAAAGAAAAGTCACCAATGTCAGAGAGCACTGTTGAGGGAACACTCGTTGATATAGCCAGCGACAGTGAAGCAAAAGAATCATTTGCAAGTTTAGGTGCAGATGAAGAATCTCTGGTTGATGTAAATAGCGCCCTCAACGACAATGAAGCAGACACAGCGAAAGTTGAGGGGGCTCTTGAAGGAATAACTGATGTGGAAACTCGTATTTTCAAGAACAGGAAAGATGCTGTGATGACTCCCACAGAATTTGAAGAAAAATGGAATCAATGGCAAACCAGGTAAAACAGATTATTAGTTTTGTGCATTGGTTATGCCACACATAACTGAAGGATCCTTACTCATGAAATCCTCTAATCAACAATGTAACTATAATTATCTCTAGGGTAGATGAGGAGTTGCCACTCCTTGAAGGACCATCAACAGCCGCCATCCTTGAAGCTATGTCATCAAATTCCATCAAGACCTTAGCAACATCTGATAATGCTTCCCAACCATGGAAAGCATTTTGCTTTATACAGGTATGGTAGCATTATCTAAACTATGAAGACTTACAAATAAAACAAATTAGGGTGGGGCAGCAAAAATGTTTTGAATGTTAGTTGGTATTGAAAACAATAGATACATGAAATGTTTTCTGTTTTTAGGAGGAGTCTGGTAGTTTTTATCTTCTGGAACTCAATTACCATCAACAGAATGAGATGATAGCCTACAAGATTAAATGTGAAGATGGCTCAGAAGAAGCAATTTTTTCCCTAGTAAAGGTGTTAAGATCCTGCCTCACATAAGAGTCAACACTGCCTATCCAGGCCCAACAAAATGGCAGAATTTGGCCAAGATCTGCAAAACATGCATTCTTAACCAATCTAAATGATGTCAATGTTATATCTGGAAATACACTCTCCAGACAGACTGTTAGTAACATCGACCATGTTATTAAAATTCAGTGGTAGATTAATATTAATATTATGAAGTACAATATATTGACCTTAATTTGATTATACACATTTCCAATAAAACCTCATCTGTTTGAATATTACAGAGCTTTTGATATGCACGAGTCACTCTTATCTATGACTGTCCTCTGTACAACGTAAATTAGGGCCAAATTGCGTCCCAGAATCCTTTGTGTCGTCATTACGTTGTAGGTTCTACTTCTAGTTGAATGCTCCCTATTGGTGTTAAATCCACAAGAAACTACATTTAAAATACAAAGGAGTATTTTATATATTTCCTTCAACATCATTTATTCACTAAACATTAATATAAATTATATCACATAAACGAATCTTTTGTATAAAATATATACTAACAGACGTAAATATAAATAAATATATGTGCATATGACATTTGATGACTGACATTAAAATCATCTTCACAGACAATGCTTTGTTACGATTACAATTTAGCCTTATATACATATACATAAAAAAGAATATCCAACTATTTGTACATTGAAACGGACACATGCATACTCGATAAAGATATTAATCTATATATATAATGTTGAAAACAAAAATACACTGATATAATATATTCTCTAGAAGAAAAAAAGCTCTACAGTGAAATTTTAATCGATTATTTACTACACACATTTATATTTAAAATATCTAATTTTATGTATAATATATAATAAGTCATTTCTATATAATATTTTAAAACACCATGACACTGATATACAATATTAAGACAATATTAAAATGTAGATTTTATATAAGTTAAATTATTAAATATTACTACACACACTTTGTTATTAAAATTCTGCTAAACATTCAGCAATCTCGTATTTTGAATAAACGTTTTGTTCATGAAAATCGGTCATTGAATACATTTTAAAATAGAATGTTTAAATATACGGCAATAAATATTGTTACAAAGCTTGCTGAAGCAGTAGCTGCCGAATTGTCAACATCGAGGTTTGGTGGAAAACTTGATATACGCTCATGCTGAAAAATAATGAAATTAGGTCAAAATTGAACATATAAGATTATCATTACTTGTATACATACATTTTCCTAGTCACTTTTGAAATTTTGACTTGGCCATTGCCGATTGTAACAGTGTTTGAAAGATTGGTTTCCATACAATCACTACATACTTTCAGTGATGCTGCTTGGTCAGTGGAATCAGGGAGTTTTCCTGATTGCGCCGGGGACTGCTACGCAATACGATTGCACTGAAAACACTGTAGCGACAGTGTAGCGATTCTATGGAAACCAAGCTTAACTGAAGGCTCAGTTTCGCAGGTCAGTTTATGATTATGTGATTGCCATGCATAATAAATAACAATTTTTATTACCAGCGATGTATAGTAAGCTCTACGAAGCCTAATGAAAAGCCATTATAGATCAACTGACCTGGTTTGTCGAAGTCGTATATTCGCCGTTACCGTCAGACGATGATATACAAATCCTTGTTTTATTGTCGAATACCAGACCATTTACACAGCCTTCAGCAAAGAAACTAATGCTAGTTATTTGGGCTTTCTTGAAATTACTGTTGAAAGTTTTAATTTGACCATTGGGATTCCTTTTGCGTCTGTGATGTGATCCATACGGTGCTTTTATCGGTTGTCTTTCGACCAATCTAAATAAAAAGAATGGTATAGAGTACTGAGAGCATAGATTACTGGACAGTTCCAGGAATCCAGATAAGATATTCTATAGAACATGATTGGTAAAGGGAATATTGTGGTCTAAACATGCCGCATTTTGAGTCTTTCTGTGAGTCTTCTGCTCTAAAATGTTTAAATAAATCAATAAACGGAGACTGGAAATATCTGTTTCAAATTTCAACAAAACTGTAAAAGTATAGGCGTATTCGACTGGTTCATTTCGTTGACTACGAATTTTCGTTGAGTACTGTATTATTTTCATTTGACTGGTTAGTAAATAGACTTCATTGGCTCAAAAATGGGCTGCCTTAATGTATTGCTGCCGCTATACTACTAATGATTATGTTGATGTTGCTGATGATTGATGACGAACTAGTAACCGAGATAATATATTTTGACATGATCCACCCTTTCCTGGTTGCCATTTATGATGGATAATCTAGAATTGATATTGATACTATACTATAATAGTATACATTAATAAAACTTACCTATATATTGCTGTGACCGTATACAGAACATCATAATCTGTCAAAGCGACATGATCAAATTTTGAAATATGCAAATTAGCTTGTTCGTCATATAAATGGTTAATAGTTGCGCCTTTTCCAGCCTCATGGTGAAGTCTGTAGCTATCATATTTACCGCCAAAATATGAGTGGTAATCTGGATCGATGAAATGAACCTTTCGATGATAAGGACGTGCAGCCACACACCCCTATTCATGTAAAAGTGAACACACCATAAGTCTGATGATCATTTACTTTATGCAATAATACGCCTATATCTATATACAGTACAAGCCATATAATATACGGTACAATAGCATATTTTTTTCACCGTGGATATTGTTCTGGCGATTTGACACAAATACGAGGTGTTAAGTTGGTTTGACCCTAATTTAAACAGTTTCGCTATTTTAATGCTTAACGACAATATCCATTTTTTTCCCTTTATTTTTTTCTTTTTTTTAGTCCTGATAAATGTTGTTCTCATTATTTCGTCGTAGGACCCTTAGATTAGGATTTGGACTTATTCAGTGTAAACACCAAGTATAGCCCACGAAGGTCTAGAAGAAGACTTACTTCTAATGGGGTCCTTCTGGTGGTGATCGGTGACCGGATTATTAATCAATTAATTGTAGGCCCTAAATACAGGGGTCTATATCTTATTATAAAAAAAAACATATACGAAACTATGTTTGGTGCATGTTTCTACAACATTAGAATGTACAAGAATAATTATAGGGCCTACACAGACCTTCGTTGCAAGTGCAGTTAGGCATTTATTTATGAGTAATAACAGAACTGATAGGTGATGGATGGTTGATGGGAAGAGAACAAGGATAAATTTACTAGCGCTAGCTGGAAGAATTTTGGTGATATTAGAACAGTTTTTAACAACCAAGTTCCAAGGAGAAATTATTCTGGGGTTATAGCTCCCAACGCCCCTTCACCCCACTTTGGATACACTGCTGTTTGTTTTACCATTTTAGGTTTTACTGGCCAGATACACGTGACCAAAAGCATCAGTTGGAGACGGTAAAGCGAACGCAACCATGTGGGCGAGAACTGCACTTCTAGTGTAATGCTGTCACCGTCTGACACACCAGCCTTTTCGAGATGACCTGTAACACCTACAATATCAAATTAATTATTTAATAAAACAATAATCTAGTACAGGTTTTCTGTAATCAATTATTGGCCACCTAAAAGACTATGAACACCGGTGTACTGTACTATACCATAAATAGTAGTAACTATATTATATAAATACATGCATGCGTCTAAACACAAAAATAAAAACAAAAAAAAGTATATACCATACGGATTGAATGGGATTGGCTGCCGTTCACTATGAATTGCAACCACGTGAAGTGACACCTCGTCACGCGACTCGTCCACTAACGTCAAGACAGACTGCAATACCAGACTAATGGTGACGCTAATTCGATAGCTGGAATTAATATTACAAGTGGTGACGTCCTCCACATCCGCACATTCGTGGACTGAAAAAGTCGCCACTAAATCGCCTGTTTGATATAATGTACGGAAAATAGTGAAAGCTACTTTTAGAAAGTCTGACAATTTCAATAAATAAGCGGCTTTTTCTCTGACGACAGCAAATGATAATAGGCCTACTGTAAGAACGAAAGTAGAAAGAAATAAACACAGGCCGATTTACAGATAACAAAAAATAGAATAATATTACGAAAATAAGGATATGTAAAAGTATATATAAAAGCATATTAACAAAGATGATTTTTTTTTTCAAGAATAATTTGTTTTATTATAACAATGGCTTACGCTCAGTCGACACTATCAAGTATTGTGACAAAAAAAGTTGATATGCCCATATTTGGTTGCAATATGACATCACCATTCCCATATATGGACACATCACACAAAATCGCATAAATTTGATAGTGGAATGCACTCTGTAGCATATGTTGCTGAGTGGCACAGGCTAAGGCCTGCTTTTCTTACAACACTGTCGCTACAGTGTGTCGCTACAGTGTTTTCAGTGCTATCGTTGTACTGTGTGCTGCGAGCAGTTCTGACGCAATCGGGAAACTCTCCGATTTGACCAACTAATCAGCATCACCGAAAGCTGTAGGCGGTAGCGTGTAGCGATTGTATGGTATTGTACTTTTACGTTGGCTATTGCGTAATGCATAACACCAATTTCCTGTTTGGAGAATTAGCTAGTTTGTTAATGTTTGACCAAAATAAATATTTACTTTACTTACCATTATACGTTCGCTGCTTTCCACTTTGTATATTTTGCATATCATTCAACTGAAGAATTATTTTAGAGTTCCAAGTTTGCATACACTTTTTATCTTCATGATTTCCAAGACACATGGGTGCTTCGTGGTGATAAAGCGGTTCATCAACTACATGTAATAAAGTGTGTGCGTCATTGCTCTGCGGTTTATATTCAATACTATTCTCTTCATAAACCATAACATACTTTCTTGACGGTGGAACGGTACTGAATTCTATATCAACTTCCATCTGGTCAACTATTGGCGCATGCGTTCTGTCCACTGGTGTTGACACTATTGCAGAGTTAAGATACACTTCGGGCTGTTGGGGAGGAGCCGGTAACATTAATGGATCCAGAGTTGACGCAAATACTGAATTCACCAACGCATTTCGATAGAGACGCCAAATTAGTACTACATGAGACTGGACGTAGGAGACAGCCTTGGTGCTACGATGGATGCTCATTGGACGAATGTTTGAAAAATATAACGTGGTCCTGAACTCAATCTCCGACCGAGTGACGTCAGATGATGTCCACGCCGATGAGCCATCTGACCGCATACAATTCAGAAGGGTGGCGGCGCTTCCATGGTAACTGAGTTTGTTCCGACGAAATGAAAACCCTTATAGAAAATGATTAGCGTGAATTATAATTTTTAAAACGTATCGTAGACCACAGAGTATTTTCGAAAACCCATGTTTACTAAAATACCTTTGTAATAGTGGTGGTAGTATTTGTGTCCTAAATAAAAAGTTTTTTCAGTTATTTTTTTCATATTACTGTAAATGGTTCAATGCATAGATCGTTTCAATATTTAGGCCTATGAAAGTAATTGTAGTTCTTCGCGCGTTGTGAGGTTGTTGTCTGTAAATAATATGACCTATTTTTAAAAATGTATTTATGTTTATCAGTTTGTATGCGACAAAATATGTTTGTTTGCTCTAATTTGTTTTTATGTTATTTATAATAAGACACAGGTAGAAGGTGATTTTTAAGGTGCATTTAACTTACCTTTTTCAATATTGTTCATAATAGGGCCAATACTAGTGTTGGTGAACAGTTTGGAATTCAACAAATTATCGTTTAAAAAGTTAAAATTATCAGTAAAGTATTCTTCGTACATTCCATCGGTGAATACATTACTGCACGTTCCAGTTCTCGATGACACAAGTGTCCCTGCAGAAATACAGAGAAAACCATCACATTGTTTGAGTAGACTGGTGTATCATGGCATATTGTATTTAATGTGGTCTCACATATTGTGTGTTTGCCTTTCCTTAGTATAATTGCTAGGGAATTCGTCCCTCGATACACTTTAAAGAGCAAATACATTTTGTTTTAAATATTTCGTTTAAAAAATTTATACTGTGTAAAACATGTAAGCTCTGAAATATGAAAATAAACACTGTGAATTCATGTAATTTCATCTCATTATATTTATCTAATTTTTAAAAAATTAATTTACATAGGATCAAATTTTCGTCATTCTGTTTAGATTGTTGATAAGCTCCATCAATTCTTCTTTTAGAGGGCGGTTTGGCGCAATGGAAACTGTTTTGTTTCCTAAACTCGAGTCGGGGTTTCAATCCTTAACTGTGCATTTCGCTTGTGCCCTTGAGTAAGGCATTTAGGTCTACATTGCTTCAGTCTACCCTGAAGTGTATCAATGGGTACAGCAAACTGCTGGGAGTAGTCTGCGGTGGACTATTGTCACACTCTCATCCGCTTCACGCTACTTGAAACTGGGAATAAGCTCCAGCCCATATGGGCCCCTATTGTCTCGGCAAGGATTTACTTATCAATTCGTTATAGAAACTAATGAAACTTTTCTGAAAATGAAAATGCTCATCAAATACGGCAAGTTATTTACTTTTAATGAGACAGAAGGTTGAAACAATTCAGTTTTTATTTTTTGCTATCGTTACACAAGCCTTAATCCAACTCTTAGTTTTGATGGGTGTTATGACGGTGACATCCAATTATAATTAAGAATTGGTTTAATACTGTTCTTGTAACAATAGCCCCTGTACTTTCAATAAATCTTTTTGAATTCAAAGCATAGAGGCAATACAAGATGTGTCATATCCATATGGAGAAATAATTTATTAGTATTGACAACACGTTCTTTAAGCCTTTTGTGTTAGACTATATTTCTACATACCCATATGATCAACTGCATTAATATTGTTGAATTCAAATGGTTGAAAGTCGACCAGCCAAAACTCATCAACATCAATAACATCATCTAGCGATACGGAGAGTGAAAGTAACCCATTTTCAATCTCGAATTCGTCTGAAACAAAACTTAAATTCACTTATTTGTATTTATATTGTATTTAAATATTCAACAGTGTAAACACAAATTATAGGATAAACATAAATGTATAAGAATATGAATATGATACAGATAAGAAGCAGAACATTACAAGATAATCATTAAAGCCAAAAAAGTAACTTCTGCAAATAAATATTAATAAATTATACTAATTACTTCATGTACACTACTTTTAAAATTTGAAAATTTACAATTAAAAATATCCAATTCAGGGTTTTTACAAACGCATGGTTATACAGAGATGAAATCCTACAAAAATACCATGTTTACAAATATTCACGAGAAAAATTTGCATTTAAAATTGACTTAGAAAGGAGACTACGAATAGGAACATTAAAATAGAAATTAGAAACAAAATTATAACAATAACAATAAATTCACTTACAAAATGCGAACGAAATTATACAGACGAGGGTAGCGTACGTGCAGGGTAGACTATGTTCGAGCCTTATTTATGGTTTTGATAAGCATACTTTATTCATTCAATGTGGTAGGAATGATTAGGGTGCGTTGCCCTGATATGAGTATCAGAATTGGAATAATTAGACAAATTGTAAAAATAGATTTAGAGCATACTGTAGATGTAAAAAATGAACTTTGTTCAGCCTTACTTAAAATGGTTATTTAGGACCTCGTCTTTCGTCTCATTTTCTTAACAAAGAAGAAATATTGAAAAGAACAGTGCGTGTGTCGCATGAAAACATTTTCTTTAAAGATGCAAGTTTTATTTTCGCATAAGACAGAAGTCCATTGTAGGCCTAATATATACACCGTACCCAACACGTAACTTTAAATAATGTCTGCACTTGCACATTTTCTTTTTAACATTTAACGTTATTGTAAAGGTTATCTTCGCGGTCAGTAATATTTTGTTTTCAATTTAGGCAGTAGCTAGGATTATGGTAGGCTTACCGTCCTATCTCGGTGCTGTTGCTAACCGTACCCTTCTTTTTACCGAGATAGAAGGGTAACGCACGTCTCAGACCATTGTTCAATTTTATATACCGGTACCTATGCTGGAAACCATCAGATATTTTGAATGAAAGTTTAAATTATTGGTGAAGCTGGCTACTCTAGGTTTAAATTTCAATCTCGATACACTACACCGCAACGAGAAAATACTACCACTTTCTATGTATTATTCTCAAGATAAACCGAAAGCGCTGGAATTTATTTGCAATTTACCTACCTACGAATGCCAAGCCCATTTTTTTGAATCTGTTATCAGTAGCAGTTGAAACAAAACGAAATAGCAACAAATATTGAAACGTCACTGAATACAAAATAAACACTAATACACGATAACGGACCGATAAGAACGTAGCAGCCATATTGATTCTTTCCAATTAAATCCTGACTGGAGAATACCACGGCTGGTCTTATCTTGAAAGTCTCATATCGTTGTAATTGAAATTGTTAAAGAAACAAAGCTGTTAGGGCTGTGGATACAAGATAACTTTAAGTGGGATCGTAATGTCAAAGAAATTATTTCTAAAGCAAGTAGACGTCTGCACATGTTATGCAGATTAAAGAAGTTCAAACTTCCAAAGCATGGCCTGGTTGAAGTGTACCAGTCACTCGACAAGCTTTCTTTAGTAAAACTATCTGAAAGAAGGTACAATCTCTGTTGTAAGTTTGCCCAGAATTGTTTGAAAAGTAATCATTTCAAAAACTGGTTTAATGTTGCTAACAATCGCAATATGGAACTTAGAAAATTGAGGTATTAGCATCCTAAATGTAGATGTGGATATCTGGAGGTGTTATCATTATATAAGCTAATTAAGAGAGATACGTCATCATGATTCAAAAATGATGACTCTATATAATTTTATATACAAGTCATTTACCAATTAAACCGTGTTAATATATATAATTATATTATTACACCAATGGTCCCAATAGCAAAATCAAAATAAATACAGGTCTCCCTCAAATGAAAGACCCCTCCGAATAAAGACCACCTCCAACTAAAAACCACTCTTCTGTGGTCCCAAATAAACGAATATCTTTTATCTCTATTATGCTAATTAGAGACCAAAGCTGCTAAAGACCATGAAAACCCCGGTCACAAAAGTGGTCTTTATTTGGAGGGAGACCTGTATATATTATCCTCAAGCTTTGTAAGTTTTCCTCTATATGGAAAACTTTTTAATTGATAATTTTAATGGACAGGTATATTATTCCTAAGCTTAACACCAGTGATGTGTGTTACTGTGTGCTGAACGGAGTTGGTTTTGTGAAATTAAAGATGTATTTGTCCCTAAAAAATGACCATTCAAAAATATATTTTAAAATTAACTTGCTAATTTTTCAGTAACGTACAATTATTCACTTGAGCATAGAACTAACTGAAGTTGAAAAATGCATCCCCAGTATTTTTTTTCGCCGTAAAATTACGGGTAAACACTCTTTAAATACTATTTTTTATTTTCAGGTTTACATTTTTATAATGTTCTTTCAAAATAGGAATGTTAATTTCAAAAATGATTTTTATTACTTTTTTTTATCTTCATAGGCCTAATAATTATAATTGAAAACAAGAATGCTTAAAATTGAGGTAGAAGATCACAATCTTTGTTAGGGGGTCCGACTAAGCTTCTTTCGACCATTTCTTAAGCTTAGTTAAGGCTAATCCAATTCAATTCAATTCAAATTTATTTGTCCAAAAGGATATTACACTGAGAAAAGTTATTGCTTATAAAATTACAACATAAAAAATACATCAATATGAAAATACAAATGAAAATACAGAATTATTAAGTTATAAGTTATAAAATACATACAAATTTAGAAAATATCAAGTAAAGTAGTATACAATATATGTACAATATAGACCAAAAAAAAGAGTTATATATGTTAGCCTTAAACATAAATATGGTTCTTAGCCTTTTTCCTGATGGCAGCCAGTTGTAATTCCAGAACAGATAATGTGCATTATCAGACCATGGAGGTATAGGCCTAATATATGCCTACTTAAGGTCTTATCAATCATTTCTCTTACGGATGTAGGATTTGGCAGTATGGGGTGCGTGCAAGGGCGCAGATCTCTTTTGAAAGGTGGGTGGGGGGACATTTCGTGGAAATAGTACCTGTAGATGGCCGAAAATGACACTTTTATATAGGCCTAGTAAAATTCATCATTATCACATCACCATTATACACAGTAGAAATAAATTAAACTAACAAAACAAACATATACAGTAGTCAAAATGAAGCGCCAACAAATTCTCATGATCTTTTATCAGTGTTTTTTGGCAACCGCAGAGACGTAATTAATATGTTTGATTTAATAAAGAAAATAAAAATGGAAAACATTGTCTTCGATGTATTTACTTTACCTACTTCAAAGCCATTAGTCCAAGGGACGTATCCTGGGGGCGCGCATGGGAGCCGCGTCCCCCCCCCCAACCTTTGTACATAGTTTTAGTATTTTAAAGCTTGTTTTTGCTACCCAATACAAATTATTTCCTGGGATCACTCAAAATGAATTACTTATAAAATATGTTAATATGCATCAGCACACGTTATACATATAATAGCCTATTATAACACAGAGCCTAGGCCTAAGCGTGAATTGTTTACGCAGATTAGAAACACAAATAGAACATGGTTTGTTATAACTCATTTTGCGATAGGGATAGTCAACTCCACGAGGACGATGTGTCACTTTTATGTGATTTTAAAAAAAAAGTTTTTAAAAACATTTAAAAATGCTATATAATTTCTGATTGACTACTTCATTATCATATGGGTGTGACCCGTGCTATTAATATAAACAATAATGCAAAAAAAATAACATTTTTGAGATCATATAATAACGGCTTTAAACTCAGGAGGTGGATGTGTCAAACTAACTGAACAAAAAAAATCAGCTTAAATTCGTCTTAGAATCCCAAGCCAGGTCTTTTAAGATACAGAAATGTGAAAATGTATGGTTCAGTTTTCAATTTTCTTTTTATCCTTCTGCAAGCTTTTAAAGTTTTGTTTAATAATAATACTACTACTGTACTAGTATTAGAATTAATAATGATGATATTATGATGGCCATAATGATAATAGATATGGTAACAATATTAACACATGTTGGGCCATGTGGGCCTTGTATTCAATTTTTTAATAAAGTGTGTTACATACGATAATATTAATAATACTAAAAAGTGTGCTAAGTAAATTGTGCTAAAAGCGAAAAAGAAATTTGTAATTTGTCCAACCATTATAACTGTTATTGTATGTAAAGCTTGGTAGGTTATATGCCTAGTTAGGCCTAAGCTGTCCTGGTTTAGTATACAGTACCTAGATCTCTATGTTTGCCGAAAATCCCTGATAAACGATCATTAGAGAAATTTGTTGGCGCTTCATTTTGACTATATAATGGTGATGTGATGATGATGAATTTACTATTATAAAAGTGGGGGAGCTGAGATGGTTGTAGACTCTGACCAGGGACGTAGCCAGGATTTTCAAAGGGAGGAGTATTCTTTAGAGGAAGTAGTACCGATCAGCAGGGACGTAGCCAGGATATTCAAAGGGGGTGGGGAACCGTCTTGCGAGGTACGAGTACCGAGCGGGGGTGGGTTCGGGCGGGACTGACGGTCCCCTTCCTACGCCAAGGCTACACTAAGGTCAGCGGACCCGATTAATCAGTTTAGATCTGGTTGTAAAAAGTGTCTCGTTCCATGAATTTATACTATTCAAGAAAATTCCTATTCATGCTTGATTATATTATACTGTAGCTTATGCTGCACACAGTTATATTCTAGTATCGAATCTTAAATTCTTTACTCAGCTTATGAGTGAACTTTGGAGAGTCACCTCTAGTTAAGTGTACGGTCGAACGATACGATTTAGCGGTCACTTAATAGACCGAATTAGTCACCAATATCATAACATTGTCATAACATTGTCAGAGAGTGAGCATTAAAGTTGTTTAATACCCACTCTGTAAAAATGTGATGACGTCATATTTTCACAGAGTGGGTATTAAAGTTGCTTACCTCGCCGAAGTCCTATGCTAATGCATTGAGCGGAGTCGAAAGTGGTGTATATTAAATCGTCCAGAATTTAATGAAGTAAGATAGCATATAACAACGTATATATTTTGAATGATTCATAGATTCATGAGTCTAAGGTTGATTTGATTTACATTTCCATTCAGAGTAAATATATGAAGTGTTTTGAGAAGCCTTGGTGGGATTGGCCAATCGCTGGCGGGACTCGCCACATCCAGCGCTGACTAAAGTGATCTCTGTTGATTTAGAAGTACACATTGAGCTTAAACAGTGTCACCAAGTCATTTTGTTGCAAATTCTGTATGAAATATTTAAACCATTGTTGGACAAACTTTGCTGAATAATGATATTTGTTAGGTGGCCCGACCAAGTTTCTTTCGACCATTTCTTAAGCATACTTATAAGGCATGGACCTATTATTAATTCTATGCTTAAAGTTAATCTAGACATGTTTTTGACGTAAAACGCAACACATACAACGCATACAGATACAGTATACGACACTCCAAGTGGTCGATTTTAAACCATTCACTGTCGGTAACTTCAATAGCGCCAATCTCTGAGCAGTAAATTGATAACAATTAATATATATACAAATTTAATCATTATAATTATTATAAACCTGTACATTCGTCAAAATTTAAGGTCGAAAGCTTTGCTTAAGTCCATAAAAGTAGCACTCATGTACTCATTATTTAAGAAAGCTTTTAAAATATTACCAAGAACAAGTATTGCATAGGAGGTAGAATGGTTTTGTCTAAGTCCGTCCTGGTTGTTACCTATGACACCATGCTTAATTAGGTATAAGTCTAATGGACATAACCTTTTCAAGGACTTAAAAAATAAACTGGTAAAATGGAAATTGGTCTGTAGTTAAACATAACTTCACGATCACCCTTCTCCAAAATTGGCACAATCTTTGATGTTTTTAATTTGTTTGGCGCAATACCAGTACATAGTGAAAGGTTGATTATGAAAGTAAGAGGATATATATAATATGAGTCAAGTACGAAAATATATTATATACTGTCCTTACTTTTACTCGCTGTGTGTGCAGTGATGAGGCTTAATAAATAAAAAATGAACAATTATAATAATAATAATCATTATTTATTATTATTATCATTATCGTTATCATTATCAATAATAATATTATTCCACAAAAAGTTTCTGAATTGCGTTAGTGTCTCAATTGTTTAAGATTACAATAAAACCACAGCAATTACATACTAGCTAATAGGCCTACACAATAAGTACGGTATTATACGAAGTCCACAGGAATGAACGAAATACAGTGTATTATCGAGATCCAATAGGCCTACATTATGTTGCAAAAAAGCTGACGCCAACCTTACCGACGCGACGCTGGTTGGCCGGTCGAATCAAGGAACGGGTTGGGGACAGCCATACATGCCTATTGCAGTCACGTGATTTCGGTAAAAATGCTGTAGGGAAAGTGGGCGATTTATTAAAATCAGGCGTTATACTGCATCAATCCAATTTATTGGAGCATCTTTTAGAACAGCGGCACTTGTCCACATGTCGTTGCATTCATAATTTAAACAAAAGATACTTAATTACATCTATACTACTCAAAAATCACCAACAAAAATAAATCATAAAAGTATATCACATAAACATACTGAGTACAATGTATACCTGTTAAGAAGCAATGCTTTCTTACTTGTTTTTAAGTAATCATGCACGTTTTACATATGACTTACATAATCTCTCAAATATTGTGTATCGTGAAAATTATTAACTACGGCGTTTAATGGACAGCGACAGAGTAATACATAGTTTCATGTCAAGGTCACCTGATGTTAAAAGTTCCCATATATCCAATTCTAATTTGTTTTATCCAATAAATATTTTTTCAATCGGGGCTCATATTTAAATATTACATTATATAATTATACAATGTACCATACAACGTTTATAATATAAACGTGTAAGATTTCTTACACGTTTCATCGTACCATTGCTTACTAAACATATCATTACTTTCATTTTTAGTTGTTTTACCCAGTGTGGATTAGCTGCCGTACCACTCGTCTTTATATTACTTACAATGTTTTCTTGCAATTCAAACAATGGTATCGTAAAGTATTTTGGTTGTCTAAAGAGAACAGCATTAGGTAACAGGTTGGCCAAAGTTGATCTTGGATGAGTATATTTGATAGGTATTTTACCCTATTTTGGTTGATACAGATGGGTGTCCAACCCAGTTCGCAATATAAGACCTTAAGGATGTTACGAGCCATTTGCAACTGCGGCTTCCAATCATCTCACTGACCCACACTGAGCTGGCGTAATTAATTGTTGGAAGAGCTATCATTTTCCAAAGGGTATCAAAATAATAAACACAAATGAAATCATCAAAGTTTTTAACAATTGATTTGATGTAAGGAATCACCTATTCCCTTTCTTTATAGTTTCGTTAACATGAATATTTTCCTTAAGACTACGAGAAATATAGCCTAAACCTCAAGATATTTATAAGTCTCTATTAGCAATATAATTATTCCATAACCTATCCGTAAATTGATTATTCTATACGGTAACTAACTCACTACCTTAACTATATCTAACTTAACCAAAATAATGGTCCGGACGGAGACACAATCGTCTACGTCATCGACATACGTGGCAGGCAAATAATAGATTCATCTCCTGACGGATAACGGCCTGTGGCATGTGTAATGTATTTGAAGCATAATATGATATGTTCATATCCCACACATCCAGAAATACTGCGCCAATTCCTTTAAATACCTCTCGTAAAAGCAGATTGTATTGACGATATATATAGTCGTTTCCATATATGTAAACATTTATATCTTTATGATTGCGCGGATGTGATCCCTTTATGGCAACAATTGCATTTGGGCACCTTTGTAAAAAGTCAACGACTGCATCCCGGATTCCGTAAAGGCGATCGAGATAGCCCTCTTTTGTCCACTGGCCGTAGTGGGCCCATGGGCCGACAACGACAACGCGGTTACAATCATGCATTTCGCGTATAATTTCACTTTCGTATTTCACACTGGCAAATGAAATAATTTTCTGTCCAAGGATAAGAGGATGGAATTGAAAAAAGATGTCAATGTTATGGTCTATCACACGATGGAACATTTGAAGCTTATTTGAGTGTTTTTTCCTGTTGAAAATGTCAACGAGTTCGTGAAACCACTGTCGGAAAGTGGAATCCCCTAGCAAGGAAATTTTCTTGTTCTGTAAACAGGTTGAAAGCTCCTTAATATTGAGATTTTCAAAATGGCGCCCAGTGCATGCGAACGAATGCCACGAATTGTTTACCCAGAAACCATCTGAGCGGCGAATGTCAGAGGAATATACTCCATCTGTCTTTTGTTTCTTTCCTGAATCTGAAAGAAATAATAGCCATTCAATTCAATGATTTAAAGATCGATAGATAAGCTATGCTATGTGACTGACAGTGATATTGAAGGTCTTACCTTTCACGTGTATCTCAAAATTCTTGATTACATAAAACTCTAGGTTGATCCTTAAAAATAGATACATAGATTACTTAATATAATGAGAATGTACATATATATCAGTATATATCAGCGGCGTAACGGATAAGAGTGGGGTGGGCGGGGGTTGTGAGGCGTTACACCCCCAGTTAGGTTATTTGGTCACTAAGAAATTGCGTCCTCTAACACTACACAACAGGGGCAGATGCAGATTAGTTTCCAGGCT